TTTAGATATATACCATTCCTTGATTATATGAGAAACGCTTTCGTCTCTACTGACAGTATCCAGAGACACCATAGGGGACTAGCCGTGTCTATCCCTGAAGTCGATATTCGGCGTCTTGTCTTGGTGTATGTTGTCTTGTATGTTGTGGCCTCTGTTGTTCCCTCCAGTCTATGGTGGGTGTCAATTGAGGTGGTCGTGTTGTCCGTCCCCCTCTCCTCCTAGAGGGCCTTGTATTTATACCCATAGGTGTCCCTTTGTTCAAGTAGAACTAGGGAAACCAATATGGATATAATCCGAATAGTTCTTGTCGTTTCCATGTAGAACTCTGGTTGTCTTTCCTTATCCGGAACTTCCTCCATATCCGCAGGTTGTTTCCATATAGGACATGGTATGTGGTGGGTCCTGCCGAGATTTAGTCAACTACTATTAGGTATGTGGTATCCATAACCCTGACAGTAGTAGAGAAAGAGGATGACACGTGGATCCTACTTTATTTTTTAATTTATTTGTTGACTGAGATGTCACGTGGACGTCACGTCAACAAAACCGTTCTCTAAAACCATCAAGAGAGTCAATTTACACCGGTTTTAATAGTTGATTGGTCGAGAACTCAGGGATATGCCACTAGTTAAGGGAGTCAATGTGAATCTTATTATGAATCTTATTATTCCTGGGTATCCATCCCCTTAGGTCTAGCCCAGAACGATGAGTGGACCAAGGCCCAACAGCCACGAAGTGCCGTCGCACGCCGCACCACTGCACAGATGCAGGCCTCAGGAGCATGTCGTGGTGGTTGTGTTCGGCAGCCGAGGATTGTAAGAAATTTCTCGCGTGCATACTTTTCGAACGGTTAAACGGTGTGTGATTTTTGTAAAATAAAATTTATAAGAAAGTTATTTTAAAAAAATCATATTAATCTATTTTTAAAATTTAAAATAGTTAATACTCAATTAATCATATATTAATGTCTCATACAGTAGAATTGTTCTTTTAGAAAGGCAGATTAGTAGTCTTTGTCAAAACTGTTATTACAGATTATCACTGTTCTGCTCTGTTAATTTCCTTCTAGTTAACTGAACTATCTGAAGCCACAAGGAATGGCGCATGGAAACTCTTCTGTAACTTTTGAGCTTCTTTTTTTTTAACAAAATGGGATGGCTTCATCGCATTGTACATATGGCACATTCGCAGAATATCCGGCAATGCCACGCCATGACTCACGATGGGGTCGCTGGGTCAAGTCAGCAGGGAAATGCTCCTCATCGTGCACGACATGCAGTAAATCGGAAGGAAAAAAAAAAGACCTGCTTTTCTTTTCTTTTTCTAATGAACAAGGTTGGATCATGATCTTTATTATGGATGCCAAAATAGTTTTGTCGCAACGTATTTGGAAATCTTGGGTGTCTAGTTCAAGCGGTAGGAGTAACCACTCTCTTAAAAAAAATACTACCACTAATTGCAGCGGGTTTTGTTTTTTTAATCAAGAGTGGTTTTGATTAAAAAAAGAGTTTCAGTGGAATTTACAATTTTTTAGGGCAATTATTTTTTGTGAACCACCAGATTAGTGTCGATTATAAGTGCAATTGAGTAGCTCGGACAAATCAGCCTATGAACATAGGCCTAGTTTAGTTCCCAAAATGTTTTTCTCAAAAACATCACATTAAATCTTTGGACACATGCATGGAGCATTAAATATAGAATTAAAAAAAATTAATTGCACAGTTAGGGGGGAATCACGAGACGAATCTTTTGAGCCTAATTAGTCCATGACTTGTCATAAGTGCTAAGTAACCCACATGTGCTAATGACAGATTAATTAGACTCAAAAAATTTGTCTCGCGGTTTCTAGGTGAGTTATGAAATTAGTTTTTTCATTCATGTCCCAAAAATCCTTTCGACGTCCGATGAAACATCCGATGTGATATCTTTTTTTTTTCGCAAGCTAAACATGCCCATAATTGTTGCAGCAAAGTCAGTCAAGGAGACATCACCAAAATACTTCATAACTAGTGTATCACTGTGGAGCAGTTGCCCGGAATTTGATTCTGTGGCCAACAAGCTAGTTGCAGGAAAGACGAATATTTATGCGCGAGAACACATGACTATTAACGCTGATTTGGGAATTAATAATGAGCAGTGGGGTTTGGGGCCAGAAGCAATTCATGGACAAAACAATTAATTTCTTTGCCAAGAGGAGAAAATGATATTCAGGACATGAGAATGATAGCAGTGCACAAATGCCATAAAAAGCAAATCTTCTTTCTTAGCCAAGAAGCTTTTCTTGGAAGTACTAGACTAGTACTACCCCGTCCCATATTATGTCGCTTTGAGTTTTTATTTGTAATGTTTATTCATTCGTCTTATTAAAAAGATTTAAAATTATTATTTATTTTGTTTGTGATTTGTTTTATTATCAAAAGTACTTTAAGTATGACTTATCATTTTCAATATTTGCACTAATTTTTCAAATAAAATGAATGGTCAAATGTTGCAAGCAAACAGTCAAAGCGACAAGTAATATGGGACAGAGGCAGTAATAAAGAGAGCTTAGATGATGTTTTTTTCTCCCGAAGATGAAGATTAAGTTTTTTTACGCAAAATGAGGTGGTATTAAAGTATGATTGATTGAGTTTTAACTATTACAAACTTCAAAAATAGATTAATATGATATTTTAGAGCAATTTTCATATAGAAAGTTTTCGCACGAAACACACAGTTTAACACAGTTTGAAAAACGTATCACAAAATTTTTTATCTTCATTCAATTCTTGTTGGACAAAATAACGAGACCCTAACAAGTTCAAGAACTTAAAGCCGTTTCAATGGACTTCCAAGGTTTCCGTGGAGTGATATGTACATATATTCAAGTTGCATGTTTCTACTTTTTTATTATTATATATGATAATAAATAAGACACATATACCGCATCACATTGGACATTTACTCTAGTGACATTTGTTGAAGAAAAAAACATCTTAATTCAGGCCATGCATTTTCTTGGGCATCTCAATGCAAAAGAGGAGAATGACCTCAATTGGATGCCTCCAAAGATATATTCTTACACATCACATTGAGAACAAAAGTGAACACATTGATGGCCACCTCCAAAGCCCCCACTATTTCAACGTTGAGGTACCTTTCATCGAATTTGGATAATGGTGTCGCAACATGTGGACACTTATTCCATTGACTATTGCGCATGGACGCTTGGCAGCAAACAATTTCTAATATGGGACAATTTCTAAAGCAACAAGTGCCGATGCATTAATATCGAATGGGGAAAAAAACAATGGAAATCAATCATTTGAGTCGATTTGCAACATATACCCGGTCCAACAAGAATATTTTATATTTCCCTTGTCTTGAAAACAAATTTGTTTATACAAATAAGTGACGCGGACCTAAAACTCAGTTAACCATCCAAAACTATTCATACTCAAACTCCCTTAAACTATTAATCCATCATTTCGCCTATAACTAGTTATAAGCCATAACATTTACTAGCAAACAAAAGTAATACATAGATAAAATTAGAGGTTGTTCATATTATAGCCAAAATAAACCTTACAATTTTGGCAAGTTGATAATATTATTAAAATTTTGATAGGATTTCTTATATATTTACCAAAGTTTGGTAACAAACTAAATGTAGACACTTTTTTTTGGCAATCTTGTTAAAAAGAAGTTATGGTTAAAAATAACATCATTCTGAACAACCCCTAGTATACATATGTTGTGAACTATGATGAAAACGTCAAAATCAACTTTAAAATTAAGATTAAATTCCAATTGTGATTGATGCTGATAAGTTGAAGAGCAATTTTAACTTCAGAAAATATTTTAAAAATAATTTAGGTTTTTCACATATTTTCAACCACTTAATTAGGTTAAAAATTGGCCACTCAAATCGGTTTTTACTTTTTAAAAGTATAAAGTTTTATTCCAAAAGTACTCTCATTGCTTCGGTTTACCACCTTTTCAACCACAAAAGGTAAACGGTAAGAAAACACTACAAGCTTGTTTGGCACAGCTCCAGCTTTCTTTTTCTGAGTTGGAGTCCAATCAAACAGTTTCGGATCCATCTAAAATGGGAATAGAGCTAGATGAAACATTATCACAAAATAAAAGAGGTGGAGTTGAGTTTAAACGGCTACACAACTCCACTCCAAACCTAACTCCTAGAGCTAAAATTAAGTGTCCCTTTGAATCACACGATTTAAAAAACAAAGGTATAGGGAAACATAGGATTCAGACAGGAATGCAAGTCTAAAATAAAGGATTGCAAAACATAGGAAAAACACAGGAATGATCGTTTGATTGTTGGATCACAGTAAAAATACATGAATTAGATAAAGAGAGATAGTCTTAAAAGAAATTTTCTAAAAGGTTAGAGTTTTTGCTAAGTTTCCTCCAAAATCTATATGCAATGAGCCATTCTATAGGAATTTCATATGATTTAAAAAGTTTCAATCCTTTAAATCAAATAACCACGTAGAAAAAAAGTTATATATGAGTATGAAATTACAACGTAGAATCTTTTGCTTGGGGCCCTAAGAGTGACACTACCAAACAAGTCCTACTTCTATGCTAAGCGAAACGACATATTTACGAACACAAAATAATTTGTAAATAAAACTTTTATATACGTGTAGCGATCTAAATAAACACTGAAAATTTAAATTTCAATAAAAAACCCTAAAATCAACTTTAAATTTAACACTGAAAATTTAAATTTGGGCTAATAAACATATGCAAAAGTTAAAGCCGTAAATTGCCATGTCTGTTCATCTTGCTTATCAGAACGGAATAATCTTTACACGCGTGGCATATAGCATGTTCTTGCAAATTTGAACACTCGAGGCCGCGAAAGTTCCAGAAGAAACGCGTTCCACTGCAACACGCGGACGAGCGTGACGACGTCAGCGTCCTCGGAACGCAAGGGCACTCCGGTAATTTCTCCACCCCTTCTCTTGGCCTATAAATTGCCACCTGCGCCGCGGCGAAAGAACGCAATCTCATCGCAAGAAAAGAAAAAAAATCCTATTCAAATCGAAACCCCTCTCTTTGATCTCGTCGCCGAGGAATTAGGAGGAGAGAGAGCAATGGCCGCCGAGGAGGGAGTCGTGATCGCCTGCCACAACAAGGACGAGTTCGACGCCCAGATGACCAAGGCCAAGGAGGCCGGCAAAGTGGTAAGTTTCCTGGCGCAGAATTTTGGGGATTTTTTTTTGGGGGTTTTGTTCACCAGGGGGTCGCGGTTCGTCTTAGATCGATAGGATTTTGAAGAAATTTAGGATTTAATTTCTTGCTGAGATTTGTGGCATGTGGTGAAATCGCGAGGAGATCGATTGTTTCTATTTTGGCGATTGGGGCGTAGGGTTGTCGCGGATTTGGGGATTGCCGATTCTGGTGGGGGAGATTTTAGTAGTAGATTTTCATGAATATATTTTAGGATGATATAATGAACAATTCTTTTAAAAGAAATCTGTTGCAGTAATTACAGGGCACTCTGTATTTGACATGATTAATCGTTGATGTTTGGATTTTACCATGAGATGGGGCGATTTGATGCTTACATCTGCAAGCGAATTTTCATCCGCTATCTGTATAGTATTTGACTCCATAGGCGAAATTGTTAGTGTTTAAATTTACCGTAAGATGGGATGGTGTGATGTGATGTTTAGGTTTGCTCCAGTTGTTTCATGCTGATGATTCTCTAATTTGAGTATAAGCTTTGTTTAAATATATAGATATATTCTTAAATAGTACTATAATTTGACATGATTCGCCAGAGTTGAAGGAAATCTGGTTCTAATCTAGTTCAATTGTTGTTATGGACAATAGATTGCCACTTCACATGTCTTGGCATTGTTATGATGTGATGCTTTGTACAGATAAGCGTCCGCCCTGTAGTATTGGATTTGGTTTCTTGCTGCGCGGCATAAACGAGGATTTTGACCAAGAGTATTATATTTGAACTGTATTAGATTTGGTTTCTTGCTGTGCGGCATCAACGAGGATTTTGATCAAGAGTAGTTAGCACTTACCAGGCTGATATATTGTTGTCTATGGAATTATCAATGGTTCTTGGATTTATTTTCTTTCTGTGCAACAACAACAAGGTTGCCAAAGAATATTTATCTAGTATGAAATTCTGAACTAGTGGTACTTATGCTTGTCATGCCAATAACTGTGAGGCTACCGTTATTCTTTCTTACTGCGCAATTGACCATTTGTTCATGTCATGTTTCCATCCCTAATGATGGCCTTTTCTGGACTGTTTGATCTACAGGTCATAATTGACTTCACTGCTTCCTGGTGTGGCCCTTGCCGCTTCATCGCCCCAGTGTTCGCTGAATACGCCAAAAAGTTCCCTGGTGCTGTCTTCCTGAAGGTTGATGTTGATGAGCTGAAGGTGCGCAGAGTTGCCCACAATCTTCCAAAAACATTTTTGTCACCCCTGTGATAGTGAGTAATGCTTTTCTTTATCCAACAGGAAGTTGCTGAAAAGTACAATGTCGAGGCAATGCCGACCTTCCTATTCATCAAGGATGGTGCTGAGGCTGACAAGGTCGTTGGCGCCAGGAAGGATGACCTCCAGAACACCATCGTGAAGCACGTCGGTGCCACTGCTGCATCTGCTTCTGCCTAAGAATTCTCGCAGGCGCAAGTTATCAAATAAGGGCCAGCACCTGGTGTTGTAGTAGGTATTAGCGTTAGTCATCGTTATCGTCAGTTTGGCTTGGGTGTCCTCGAATATCATGCGAAATCGATTCCGAGTTCTCTTTTTAAAATTCCTGATGATGATATATAGTTTGTGGAAATTTGGATCTGGCTATTCTGTACGAGTTTGCTGACTATTAAAGCAATTATTATAATATGATGATGCTGGCAAGCTTGTAGATAGCTTGAATTTGTCCTGAATCCTGTTCTGAGCTTATTATTCCTGCATGGCTGCATGAACGACGTTTGTTCATGCCATGAATTCGAGATGATATCTCTAGGCAGCAGCATCTACTTCTAGCCATGCTGTGTCCTTTGCTCCAATGCTACTGTTATGCTTGTTTCTGAAGTATCCAGTCGATGAGGATAAGGACAGCTAGCATTTGTTGCGATAGTAGTAATAACTGTTGTGAGTTGTGACAGTAATCTGTTCCTAACTTACCATCTCCTGATGAAAGTCATGTTGAATTGAACCTGCTCAACCGCTGGAAGTGCAATTGGATTGCGAGTTTGTGACAGGCTGACAGCGCCAAGAAGATCTCGGTTCAGACAGCATTTTGGCTTGTTCAGAAGTTCAGAGCTCTCGAGTCCGAGTGAGTGACTCGTTCAAAACTAGTAGAACACGAAGTTGAGACCAAGCGAAAAAAAATGAGAGGATAAGATAGGAGTTAGAACAAAGAACAGATGGGTTTTCAGACATCAACAGGGCACGTTAACCATAAGAGATCCACCGATTTGTTCAACCGTACACGTTGATGCCAGGAACAAGTGAACAACTGCACCTTCTATTACGTCCAAATCCAACTTCAAGTTTGAAGAATGGGTTCAAACGGACGCGAAAGATTTGTGCTGCCATCGGTTGGCAAGCCATATATATGGCTGATTGGAAATAATAATAATAATAATTTATGGTAAAACTTTTCTTTATTTGTCCTTAACGATTTAAACAAAAATACTTCAAATATATAATTTCAAAAAAAAATCAAAATCAACTTTTAAAAATCCATATTTCGGAATCTTTGCTTATAAAACCAGTCTCTTTTTTTCAGTTTTGTTTATATAAGGGCAGGGCTCTGCCTGCCAATCTATCAAGGAAGAGGAGGGAAAGGAGTCATAGCATGTTGAGTTGTTGTTGGGCTAAATGGTTCGGCCCGTCTCTGAGTGGGCCTTATCGTCGTCTTCGGGGTTAGCCCAAAATTTAGGGGTACTACATACTGAGGGAAAGAGAAGGCGACCGGGGCTCTGCTTTCCTCTATCCTTCGGTTTTTTAGTGGTTTTAACGACCGGAATTGTAATTTTCTCACTTGATTTGAAGATGTGGCTTGCAAGTTGGAACAATTAAACACTAGATCCACTGATCCACATGCATAATAAGATGAAAAAGAAAAGAAAAATAGGCCTTGGATTTGCCCAAAGATTTCCAAGTCGGCAATTTCTCCAATCCACGCTCGCGAGCACTCGGGCTAGCCAGAACTGGTGGGTGACAAATTGTGGGAGTCTGGGAGAGATTGGGCCAGCTATGGACTAAAGAAACTCAATTCGACTGTAGAAGTAATTGAAGCAAGGAATAAGTATATTTTTTGTCGTTCATCTTATGTACTCTTGCTTAAATTGTCTCCCTCAACCATAAAATCGGATATAACACATTCCTTCTCTTTGAAAACCGGTGCAAATCGATTCCTTCAATAGTACGGGAAACGGTTACTACAGGTGAGGTCCATATGTGACATATGATATGTCATTGAGATATGACAAAAATATGTGGTAAGCCCCACGTGCACCGGAAAATCTTTCGGGCCTGTATTTTACACCAGTTTTGGATCAATTATGGACCTTCCAAGCAGGCCCTAAGTTTAATATTTTGAACCCAGCGAGCAGGTTAGGGCCTATTTAGTTGGCAAAAAAAAATGTTGCCCCTCCATATCACATCAGATATACGAACATACATTTGAAGTATTAAACATAATCTAATAATAAAACAAATTACAGATTCCGTCAGGAAATTGCGAGACAAATTTATTAAGCCTTATTAATCCGTCATTAGCAAATATTTACTGTAGCAACACATTGTCAAATCATGGCGCAATTCAAGGGCGTAGCCAGCTAGGTGGCACCGTGGTCCATGGACCACCTAAGAATTTGAAATTATAGTATATGTGCTAGTTAATATAATAAAAATTGTATAGTGGACCACCCTTTTAATTGGCATATTACATATAGATGGACCACCTTTACTTTAAATCCTAGCTACGCCACTGGCGCAATTAGGCTTAAAAGATTCGTCTTGCAATTTCCTGACGAACTATGTAATTGTTTTTTTTTTTTGCATCTAATACTGTCCAAACATTCGATGTGACAACGTGAAAAATTTTGTTTGGAAACTAAATTGGAGGAAAAACATAGGAATTTTGGATGATTCCAATTCTATAGGAAAATTTTCTATGAAGCCCTTTGAAATAAAGGATTGAATTCTATCCAATCCTTTGAAATTCTTATGGAATGGACAATCCTATAGAGATTTTGGAGGAAATTTAGCAAGAGCTTCAACCTCTTGGTAACTTTTCTTTGAGTCTATCTCTCTCATCCAATTCCTGCGTTTTTCCTGCGGTTCAATCAAACGGTTATTCCTGTGTTTTTCCTGTGTTTTGCAATGCTCTATTTTCCACTTACATTCATATCAAAATTCTACGTTTTTTCTATTCCTACGTTTTTTTCAATCATGCGATTCAAAGGGGCCCTAAGCAGGCTCCTATTCCACGAACATACATACACAGTCCAACTAAACTGTACTCTTATATATACACCATTGATTTCTCTAAATGGAAAAACACAACGCAGAGCTTTTTTATATAGGTTGTGTTTAGTTCAGCGCAAAGTTTAGATTTTGGTTGAAATTGAAGATGATGTGACTGAAAAGTTGTGTGTGTATGACAGGTTGATGTGATGGAAAAGGACTGAAGTTTGGATCCAAACTTTAAATCTAAACACAGCCATAGTAAGGTACAACAGATTGCAGTCCTACTTTTATTTCAAGAGCAGGTAGAAGCTGATGAGAGAACAAAATGCTAACAACAACCCTATGTTTAGGAGGAAATTAGTACCAGCTGGCTGTACAAAAATCACTACTGGAGTAGTACCGTGCATGATTAGCACCAGTTCAGCTCGAGACAAATCAATCACCAGCAGCTGTCTGTTGGGTTGTGTTCACATCATTGCTACTTCCAAACCTATCAAAGTTTAATAGTAAGATTTAGTTCCAAACCTATTAAATTTTAATAGTAAAATCGAGTAGTTTCAGAAACTCTCTCATAAAAACATTAATAAAATACGATAAGGCTCTAAATTAAAATAGATTCAAGATAACACAAAATTGAACTACCTCCATTTCGAAATATAGCAATTTCTACTTATGTATATGCATATGCCCCTATCCAGATACATAGCTAGAAATTATCATATTTAGGATCAGATGGAGGTATGAAAATTAGTACTACCTTTGTTTCAGGTTATAAGACTTTCTAGCATTGGCCACATTCATATAGATCTTAATGAATCTAGACACACATGTATGCCTAGATTCATTAACATATATATAAATGTGGACAATACTAGAAAGTCTCATAACATTAGTCGGAGTAAGTACCAAATTTTAATAACAAAGGGAACAAGCCGTTGATTTTAATTTTCTTTTAAAACTCCAATTTTAATAACAAACTGTTGTGTTGGAGAATGGAATGACACGAAGAAGCCAAAAGGGATGGAGTGGATGAGATGGCTTCCCAGTTTGGACGGCCCAGATGAGAGCACAACTGCCAACCGCACCAACCACCACCCCAGTAGTCCAGTACACCGAACCCTGAGCACGCGCCACGTAGGACGCCCGCGTGTGAACGGAACCCCACGAGCCGGATATTTCGTGGACCAAACGCGCATATGCGCCACGAAAAAAAAGCCCATATTGCCAAATAAAATTCCATTTTCAAAAATCGCCTAAAAAACAAGCTAGGTTTCATCTGGGCGAGGCCGTAGCTGACAAAAAACGAATGAAAATTAAAAAGGCTATGTGCTACACGACACGAGAAATTTAAACATGGAAATTTATCGCAACTGGAGCAAGTTGGAATCTTCCCAGCAAACACGTACCAGCCGCATACCTACCTACGAATACGTTTTTTTTAAAAGAAAACTGAGTAATATTTACTTTTTTTTTGTAATGTACTGGGAGTTAGATGCTGCTGTGACGATGAGTAAGCACAGCGTGTGTTTTATAGGGATGTGAATGTGCAAAGGGGCTAGAAGACTTGTATTTTATTGATGAAGGAATGGTTCGTAGGAATTGTTGGGAATTTTATTTTGTTACAGTTGAGTCGTTTTCAACGAAAACTTAATTTGAGAAAAGAAACTGGTAGAATGCATTATATCATTTTTTTTTACCCTCTATGTATGGTGAGCTTCATTGGTGGCGAGGAGAGCTGACATGAGACGACAATTCAACATAAATCAAGTCTCATAATCTATTTCATGGTATTTTGGTTCGTCATGTTTACATATCGGCCTCTAGCCTTGCTGCTTTGCTAGCTTGGAACTGGATCCACTAGTGATCTTTGTTTTTTCTTTCCTTATTGGTAGCAACCTTGTGTTTCAACCAAAATATATATATTTCTTTTGTTGTTGAAAAGTGCAAATTAAGAAACAGGAAAAAAACAAAATACTATTACACACTATTGAAAACACATGTAAAATTCAATCACATGTACATGTGTACAGTGAGGTGGTTTGTTTAGAAAAACAACATTTGTTTTTTTAAAAAAAAATAACACCGGAAGCTTTGATGGAAAAGAAATATTAGAGATGCAAGTGAGGCGGGTTTGTAGGCTTTGAGGCCCACTAAGCCGTAATTGTCATTATCTTTTTTATCTGTTTATATACTAGTGGGTGAAAAATAAACTGATGTGTATGTCTTACGCATGATAGCATGCTGCCCGCTTGCATTCCTAGAAAATACTTCCTCCGTTTCTCCGTTTCTTAATGTAAGTCATTCTAGCATTTTCATATTCATATTGATGTTAATGAATCTAGACATATATATTTATTTAGATTCATTAACATTAATATGAATGTGGAAAATTGTAGAATGACTTATATTGTGAAACGGATGAAGTACTTTTGAAGAGATAATATATATTAGTGGGACAATCGACTTTGGAAAAGAAAAATTCACCAAGTAAGAGCTCTAGTTTATTCTCTATGCAATTAGAAACACACGAAAGTAGTCCAGATTCAGAACAAACCATATGTGCTAGGCGACATCATTCATTCTTAGTTAAGCTCTATAGAACCATATGCATTGAACATTCCTATACGCTTAAATATAAAACTTGTATTTGAAAAAGTCCACAGTGAAAGCTCCTAATCTTTCTTTTTTTAAAAAAATATCTTAATATAATATTTCTCCATTGTTCCTATATTTCTAGGTTCCCGCATGGCCCATATGTGTAAAGAAAAAGAAACCTCACGTCAGTGTTGTGGTAAATATGTGATGTCGTCTTTTAAAAAAAGATATGCGGTGTGTTTTTTTTTTCAAAATGTACTCCCTCCGTTTCCGGTTATAAGACGTTAAACTATTTTAAATTTGACTAATTCTACAGAAGAAAGTATTAATATTTACAACACCAGCATTGTTTCATTAAATCTATAATTTAATATATTTTCTGTAAAATTAGACAAATTTACAGTAGTTTAACTTTAAGCAAAGTCAAAACGTCTTATAACCTGAAACGGAGGGAGTATATTCTAGAGTTAATGAAAAATCATGCTCTCTTATTGGATTTTTGAAATAAAAACATGGGAATCGCATGCCTCTCCAGTCCCTAGTTGGCGAAAAGAAACGAAAATAAAAAAAACAAAAACGTTTTCTTTCTGAAAGGCAGGCGAAGAAACGCATCTGTCACGCAGCACTTCCACGCGTTGCTAATCACACAAAAGAGAGAGAGAGAAACCAAACGAAACGAACGCCAACCCAAGCCAACCCAGCCCAAGCGAGAGGAAGAAGTAAACACGGCAAATAATCAACACCGCATTAAAAATCTTCCATCCAAGTCAAGCCTCAAGCGACTCCTCCCCCCTATAAAAGCCCCCTCTCCTCTCCTCCAACTCTCTCCTCCCCAAAGAAATCGCTTCTTCTTCCGCCTCCGCCTCCCATGGCAGCTCCCAGCTCGTGGGACACCTCCTTCCACGAAGCAACCACAGCAAGGCAATAGCGCCACCCACCGCTCGCATCCACAGCTGCTGATTCGTAGGAGGAGCAGGCCAGGGAGGGATTCGTTGATTTTATTTGGCAGGGAAGGAGATCCGAGAGGAAGAAGGGGAATATAGATCGATGGGGAAGTACGTGGAGCTGCTCGACATGGGGGTGCGCATCGCCGCGCGGTTCCACTCCCACTGCCCGCAGACGGCGAGGATGTACTACCACCCGCCGCCGTCCTCCTCCTCGTCGCCGTCTTCCTCCGCCGCCGCCGGTTCGGCCGACGGCGGCGGCGGCGGCTGCGCGGGCTTCGCCGCGAAGAGGATGCCCCGGGCCGCCGCCGACACCGCGGAGATCATCCTCTACGCCGTCGTCTAGAGTTAGCCTCTAGACTCTCGATCCAGACGCTTCACGCGGAAATGGAGGAATGTATTTTTCTTTTGTTTTTCTTTAAAGAGGAAAAAAAACAAAGTGGACTTGGAGATTGGTTGGTTTATTGATGGAGTGAAATGAAATGAATGGAATGATTTGATATTTACGTGATTTTCTTTTTGTTTTCATTTAAGTTCGTACTACTACTATCTTTTTTTAATGCGGACAAATATTTTCAAAATACAACAAAAAAGAAAAGGTATGGACGGCTGAGGATGGACGCGTCACAAGCTAAGCAATCAAAATCTCAACCAAACCGAATCCTAGGAAAGCTCCACCAAAAATAAAAACAAGAAAAAAAAAAACGAGAGGCGCGCAGGACACCACCAGAGGCGCAGATCTTTACCTTTTTCCCCCGATTTCTTGGTGCTTGTGCCTAAATTCACGCCGAATTCGTGTGTGCGTGGGGGGCACGCGTTTGGGTGGGCAGAGCAGAGCCCAAGCATCGCGGAGAGCTGAGTTGCTGGTCTGTAGAGCATGTTTGGTATAGCTATAAGACTCCTAAATTTAATTTAAGGAGTTGAGTCTGAAGTAGTTTATCTTGTGAGAGAGCTCTATCCAGCTCCACTCTCAGTTTTAGTGGAGAGAGCTCCACCCAACTTGTTTCGATGGACCTAAAACTGTTTGACTGAGCTCTAGCTTCACACACGAGCGTTTTGGTGCGCACGGCGCGGGGGGGTTAGCTGTAGCTGTGTGGTCGCGGTGATGAAATGAATTTGCCAACCGATCTGCCGATACGATACGGGTGGTATATGGGGAAGGAAAGATTTTTGGAATTTTCGTGATCTCACGTCGCACATATGTTGTGCGTCTAGGGGTAGGCCGGCGGGGCGGCGATTCTGCGGTGCCACACCAATTTACTTCATCATATAGAGTACTTACTTGCTACTCCATCCATCTCAAAATAAACCGTAATTAAATTTATTTATTTTAAGATAAAAAATTATTTGTTTACTTAAAATTATTTATTTTAAGATGAAAAATTATTTATTTATTTTTTTTAACAAAAGGAGTACGGGTAAATTGATAGTATATCGTATCCTCTCTAGCAAACGATTGGGTTAAAGTGAAACTGCTACCAACGTCTTTTTTTTCTTCACTTGATATTTTGGACATATGGACGGTTTACACCACATCTCCGCATGGTAGGATTTAGTATCAAGTTTACAGCTCGAGCGTTCACCACCCAAAATCCAGTAAATTTTCTTCGGAACTTTTGTGGAGTACAACCAGGCATATGCCACCGAACACAAGGCTGTGTGTTCTAAAGAAAAAAAAAACACAAGGCTGTGCTCCATAGTTTTCTTGATCGAAAACGGTGACGGAAATTCATAACTGACGGAGCATGGTTTCCGTAAAACTTGTATTGTTTTTGCCTCTAGCCATATATAAGATCTTTTTTCTTCTATATTTTACCAATGCCGTATTGCAATCATCACTAATCACTAAATAATTAACGGGAAGGCTAAATGGCTGTATGATAGATGGAATTTCCTAACCAACACAGAACCTTTATTCCCTTACAAACAATATGGTTTTCGACTGTTCTCATCCCTTCCCGCTTTGATTCACTACAAATAAAAAACTCTGTTACTCCAAGCAAGACCTATGTATTGTTGTTAGAGGGATGTTTAGATCGAGGGACGTAAAGTTTTGACATGTCACATCGGCTATTATGTAGGGTGTCGCATAGTGTCGGTGATATGGGCCGGGGAATCAGGACCAGAGGGAGGAGGCTGCCCCCGATACCCACGTGGCACTCCTCCGAGGGGGTTAGGCCTGAGGTGGGGAGGCGGCCGCCCCTCCATGCCTGGGGGTCGAGCACTCGGGCTGCCCTGACCCCCTCCGCATGACACCGCGTGTGCGGGGTTAAGTGGACGCCCCCAACACCCACCTAACCGCATTTAAGGCAACATGAGCAGGCGCGCCACATCGCATTAAATGCGGTGCGTTGTGCGCCCGACCGGTTTGTGACCAGTCGAATGATTGATGAGACCGGAGTAGTGCGCCTGCGTGCTGCTCACTTGTCAGGCGGCGTGCCGCCTAACATGCCCCCTCACGTCATGATGATGAGAGGTTATTTAGCCTTTCATCCCAGCCGGAGTCAGTTCATCCAACCTAGTCAAAAGTAGGGTTTCCATTTCTCGGTGCAAGTGAGGACTCAGAAGTCTTCACTCATTTAATGGTGAATGGCATGGGTGTCCCCCGTGTCAGCTGGTTGGATATGACGGCCCCATGCCGCGGCGTCTGTGTGTGGCTTCCAAGTCAAGCAACAAGACATGCAATGTCCTCCTTCACCCTTAGGTAGACTTCTACGCCCATGTGGCAACCCATTGGGATATAAAAAGGAGGTCCAAGCTTGGTGAGGGAGAGAGATCGGTTCTTTGGCTAACTCACGCTTGAATTTCAGAGATTGAAGTGCGTGTATTCCATACTCGATCAACCAAGCACAGGAGTAGGGTATTACATGTATAAACCCCTTTTGTCTCATCGTTTCTGGGGCCCCGACCCCGTCTACATCACATCTTCCACCGAGTCCTTGATTTTCACCCGCTGCCCCCGACCGAACTAACAAAGGGGGCCTTACTGTCCCCCGCTTGAGGAGTTCACCCTTCGATACATAGGGTGTTCGGGTACTAATAAAAGAACTAATTACAATATACGTTAATAAACCGCAAGAAGATTTTATTAAGGCTAATTAATCCGTAATTAGCATATGGTTACTGTAGCACCACATTGTCAAATCATGGAGAAATTAGGCTTAAACATTCGTCTCGCAAAGTAATCACAATCTGTGCAATTAGTTATTTTTTAGCCTATATTAATACTTTATGTAGGTGTTCAAACGTTTGATAAGACATGGTGTAAAATTTTAGAGTGGGATCTAGACATGCCCTTATCTTCTGGATGAACACAACAGAGAACAGATCAGCATGTTTGGACCATGATAACGTTATTACCAGCTGCATATTTGTATGCTGCGTTTGCTCGCCCGTGAACCTGACTTGCCGAGCACAAGAGGAAGGGAGGAGGAATATGCTTTTGTTTTTGCTCTACCTTTTTTCTCCCATCCGTCACAGCTGCTGCTGCTACGGTTGCTTGGCCGGTAGTAGCTGTAGGTGAGGCAAAAAAAGACAGAGCACCTAGACAGAAACACACATGCATGATGACTGTGTGTGAGACATTGGAGTATGGCCGCATTCAGCAAGCAAGGCATAGACGGCACATGACGTGATACCCTCACGCAGCAGCTAGTGGCATACGTAATCCATTTGCATTCTTGCTTGCAGCTGGGTGCTAACTCCTGTTAATTTGTTTATTACAACTAGTAGTACCTTTGAGGGCTGGATTAGTTTTTTTTCTTAAAATACGATACAAACGCAAGCGTCCACAATACATGTACAACCTCCCTCTAAGAGTTATCATGAAGCGTCTTACTGTCGATGGGTAAGTCGCTTACCATTGAAAGAAAAATTACTCGTAAATACAAGCACTCATGTTAAATCTAGGGGGTTTTTATATTGTAGCCAAAATAAATCTTATTTTGGCAAGTTGGCCACTAAATGTAGGTATTTTTTATAGCCTTAAAAAAATAGTATGGTTAAAAATGGTATAAATATGAACAACCTCTAGGATTTGAACCCGAGAGGATTGGTTCCACCACAAGAAACCTAACCAGTAATTTGGCAAGCTTAGAGTACTCCCTCCATTTCAAGAAAAACATAATTCCGATGTTGATTTAACATAATTTAGGATAATTAATATGGATATGAGGTTGTCCAGATTCGTTATTCTATTTGGTGTTAAATCCTCGCTTAGGTTATTTTTTTTATGAAGGGAGTAGTAAAGAATCAATATTTTTTTTCTTCTAAAATATGAAGTACTCCTTTCGTCCCAAAATATAGCAATCTTCGAGCGGATGGGACACATCCCAGTACTATAAATCTAGAGGATATGTCCCATTCGCTCAAAGGTTGCTAATTTACTATATTTTGGGACGGAAGGAGTAACTATCAGTACTAGTTAAATATTTTGGAATAAAAGCCGTACTCCCTTCATGCCAAAATATAAGTACGTTTGGACTCTGATATGGTCTCCAAGATGCTATTTTTGACTAACAATATATATAAAAGTAAGATGTTTTAAATAAAAAGATTTGTATATTATGATAGATTGTTCAAAAATAAATCTAGTAACATCAATTTTACATGATTACTCTTTTATTTTTGTTGCAATTAATAGTTACAGTTAAAAATTTGATTTATCACCATGCTTAAAAATGACTACATTTTAAATTTTGGAGCCGCGAGATAGAGTATGACCTGACCTCTGATAGAGTGGTTGAGGAGGGTGATGTCAAAGCGGGCGTCGGTCTGCGTGGTTGCGATTTTTCTCTCACCTCACGTTGTGGAAAAGGATGGGGATGGGACTATGGGAGAGGTTGGGCGGCGGTCGGCGGAGGGTCCTCGCGTGTGAGTGCCTTCTTCACCGAATGCTTCGCATTCGCATGCACCTTTTGTTTCTTCAACGTTCAATGGAGGAGGAAAGCGTCCCCGCTGGCTTTTAATTATTTTTCTGCCTGCGAAGCTGACCGTTGGTACATGGTCATGGTAGTAATAGTAGCCTCCGTCCCCTACTATAAGCTATTTTAACATAATATTTTACTTATATTGTTTAACCACTCGTCTTATTTAAAAATATTATGTAAATGTAAAAAACAAAAAGTTATGCTTAAAGTATTTTAGATAATAAAGTAATTAAAAAAATAATAGTTCTATTTTTTTTAATAAAACGAATGGCAAACAGTGCAAGCAAAATGTCAAAATCCCTTATATTAGGGATGGAGGGAGTAGCGTTTTTACCCGACCGGGAAAAGTCTATCCCTTTAGTTTTCAATTCTTACTTAGGTCAATTTTTTTAAGTATAGTACAGTGGACATACACACCACTATACACAACATCACACTCTCACATATTCACGAAAACGCCCTCAAGCACATGTCTAATGAAATGGAAACCAACTACGCATGTCTGATCTCATTAAAATTTCATTAAATACCTACTTATGTGTGGGTAAAAATGGTGGATTTGAACCCTCGCATACCCACGACTCTATTGTTACACCATCAGATATCGGTGATGAATAAGTAGATAATTTGTGGTAATTACTTGAAATTACAAACAACTAAAGCACAGAAAGTTTTGCCTAAAGAATATTACGACGTTTAGAAGTTCAGGAAGAGAGCCTGTTAATCTATTCATCGTGAACAAAGTCAACATCAAGTTGCTTGGTTTCCGTAGTAAAATAGCACATCCGTAGCGCTACTAGTGGTAGCTTACTACGTTTGGGTTACGTACGTGGTTATCACGTTAAGTTTTTATTATCTTTCAATCCACCGTGTTCATGTTTTCTATGTAGTGGTTAATTTGGGATGACTAACGAAAGGCCTCAAGCCATTAGCCAGCAGGTAAACGTTTGTACTCCATGTGACCATGTAGTTTATTTAACCATATAATACCCCTAGTTGTAACTCGAAATATATCCAAACGACATGTTCTGCTTTTTACAGTTTCATTGTTTTGCTTATACATATGCTTATCTGTATTGCTTATCAATAACTTTTAAAATAATTTATAAGGTATTAACATAAATAAATTTGCATACTAAATAAATATTGTATTGCTCTCTCCATCCCAATTTAATCATTAGAATACTAATATGCATTACTCATTATGTAAATGATTAGATACCATACTACGATGTCATTTATTTTTACACAAATAAATGAGTATATACCGGTTAAATGATGATAAATTTAAAAAGATCACAAAAATCTTTTCAAATTGGGATAAAGAAGAAAATAAATTCATTGCATTTGTTCCCGTCAGCTACTAGCGAGACTTCCCGGCACATAAAACGAAGCAGCGTTTTAGTACGTGATTAATTAAGTTTTAGCTATTTGTTTTAAAAATTGATTAATATGATTTTTTTTAAGCAACTTTCGTATATAAATTTTTTTTTTATAAAAAACACACCGTTTAGCAGCTTAAAAAACGTGCGCGTGAAAAACAGACAGAGGAGTTGGTAACTTGTACTACCGAATAGAGACTTGGTCCTGGTCGGTGCTCCACCCAAAGATACAGAGCACCTACACACAGTGACACACCCACCACACAGAGAGAGAGAGAGAGAGAGAGGGGGTTGTGGTCCTTGTGGACTTGTGGCGATGGGTGGTGGGGGTGCTGGGGGTAGTGGATGGGCCGCGGAGAGTCGTCGCGTGCGCTTTCCGTTGTTCATTTTTGGGTTTTGCGCTTGACATCCGGCTCCGGCGTTGCTGCAAGAAAAACTGACCGTTGGATGGATGGATGGCCGTGGTCCACTGGTCCTCGATACTGTTGCCTGTTGGTACGGCACCACACCACTCTGTTTTTATTAGGCCAGTCACAATGGCTAGTGTCATTGCACGGCTACCCAAAATATTATACCATCTTCTCTCAAATGAAATCTTTTATGAAACAATCCCCACAGTGGAGGGGTTTCACTTTGACGTTTCCAAGACTAAGCAAAGCATTTAATTGATACAAGTTGCTGGGATCATTTGTACCCAAAATCCGGCGCGGCGCGGGAGAATGCGGAGGTCGCACGGCGGAGGCGGACGCAAGAGATCCGGTGAATGAAACGAATCGGCCTCAACGGGGGTTTCACTCTGTTACCGAGGACTTGGAAACGACGCTGACGAGTTTCACCAGGATGAAACTCTTTCCTTCTCTCTCATCCCCATTTCATGCAAATAATCATTTTTTATTCAGTCTTACCCCTATTAAATGTGCATGACACACCAGTGAAACCCCCATTGTGACTGGCCTTAGAGGTAAGTTTGATAGTACAGCCCACTACCAGCTCTAAATCAGTCAATGTAGTAGCTAATTCATATAATAGTTGCTTGCTATACTATTAATATCTGGTTCCACCTGTCATACACACATTACGTCTTGGAGCCTGTGCTGCAACTGGCTATAGATCTGTAGCCCGCTGCTCTTCTCTCTCTTCATTTATCTCTTTAAAATATATTTATAGCTGGCTTATAGCCTGCTATTATACCTACTCTTACTGCACCAAACCCACAAGGTCACTGTGCCTTTCGCTTCGGTAGCAGTCAGGTAGGCGCCTAGGTGCATAGGCCTCTCTCTCTCTCTCTCTATCTCTCTCGGTGGTGTTCTGTTCATCACAATTCACAGCTCATGGCTTGGCCAGTTTGGCCTCATCACTGCACTACTCAACGTAAAACAAAATGAAGTACTGTAGAACCAAGGCACAGAAGCCACGGTAGATGTCAGAACGCAGTATTACTTGTTTCATCAATCACTTTTAATAATTTATATTTTTTTTCTTTTTTACTTCCAATCATCCTCTCATATCTAACCATAAATCATTTAATAAGAGACATTATAATATTTTTTTCCTCGAACCTAATCAATACTGCAGGCCTGTTTGGATAGGTGCTGTAGTTAGCGTATAGTTTGGTTGCTTAACGCACATTAGTCTACCGTAAGAAGATAGATGCTCATGAACCACTTCGCCACTTGTTTCTTCGCTAATGTTGTGGTGCTCAAATCATTCGTCCGACTTGTGGCATGGGCTAGCTTGTGAGTTGTTACGTGGTAAATTGGAGTAGCCATCCAAATAGACCCTAAATAACCCAAAACGATAACTAATATGGTACAGATGTAGTATATACTCCCGTACAGTACAGTAGAGCAAACTTGAGGCAGCAAGCAAAAAAAACGGGAAAAGCAAAACGAAGAAACGGAAAATAGGAGCGACTTGCGAGCCCTTTTTGTACGAGCGGAGCTGTGTTCAGCAGTTCAGCACCAAGAGCCAAAGGCTCAAAGCTATCCAAGCAGAAGTCCGCGAGTCAAATTGAGTGGCGAAAGGACAATCAAGAACAGATTTGGCCTACAGCTGACCAATCGTAAAAACAATGTAGAATAAACTTAAATAATAATTTATAGATAAAAATTTTAAACATATATTTATATATGTGTTATCCGTGATTTTAAAGGTAATGCTAAAAAAAAGAATTACGATGGAAAAACCTTAAAATTAAGTTCTGCAATTCAAATTTTAGTAGCGGCTTATAAACTGAGAGGCAAACAAGATTCTGCATGAAAATGCTTCCACAGTAAACCAATTGTTTTATTAGGCCACAAAATTGGCATGATATTTTTTTTCTCTGAGACAGGGTAGATTATACTATATTAAATAAGAGAAGAAATTACAACCTCGTTGTTACAAGAAAAGAAGAGATAAGACAAATTTTACATGATACTATTGATTTACCACACAACAGGTTTTCCACAAGTCGATCAACTCTTCAAATCGTGTTGCGTGGGATCATCTTTTGCTCATGAAAGGTAGTGTGGAGTTTGATCTTCTGGACGAATATGGGAAAGACTCATGGGTGCTCTGGTATGCCAAGGGCGACGAGCAAAAATATGATACATTGGAGGGTGGATGTGAACCTGGCAAATGGCAAGGTTCAAACCAGCAATTGTTTCGATTTCATACGACTTGATGATGGATGCAGATGCATAAGTATGCTTGACAACACATTCACAATATCAACACGTGTTATTTCCGCTCCCGTTCTTCGAATTCTTAAGCTCATCCAGCTGCGATGAGAAATGCAGAGTAAGTGATCAAATGCCCAGCTCTTTCTATACAAAACAATCTTTTTATTTGGACTTCAAAGTAAGCTATCCAAATGAAACTGAAAAAGGAACAAAAAGAGACAGTTCTGAACCCAGACAGATATGATGATGTTATCAGATTTTCATAAGTTATTTTTTTCCTGAAAGTACAGAACTGTGCTTAAGATGTTAACTGTCATAATGAGAAATCTAAATTGGGTCCATCAGGATTCAGGAATACCATCTAGCTTGCTGTGTGCCAGCCGATTACTCAGCAGATGCTATAGCTATCCTATGGGCTGATGGAAAACTCCAAGACAATAAGAAAGGCACAACCATGAAGAAGGAAACATCGCTGAGGACAGAATGCTATATACAGAACTAACAAAATACAGTCAAGGAATTCATTTGTGTATTTGCACCTAAATTCATACAGTTTAATCGGACTGAAAAGTACACCACTGAAGTATTATCTGAGTGGTGGAGATCCTAAACACGTGCAATACCAAAGTGCAAGAGCCAACTAACTGCAGTGAAGTGACCACACATAAGCACCAATCTTGATAGACAAGTAAATGTTAGATTTCCATAGAGATCTCCATCTCTAACATGGCATTAAGGTTGTAACACAAAATGCTACTGTCCATATGAATAGATCGAGTAGCAATGCATTTACGCAAACACATTAAAATGCTATATATATACCTGTCTGCATGTTTCCTTGTGTGTCTCTAAAAGCTCATTATACTTCAATTGCAAATCCAACTTCTCAGCTTTGAGCTTTTCATAGTCGGATATTGATGGACCACCCAGCTTCTGCTGAACAAACCTGGGATATACCAGCATGTTTAGTTGTTGGCTTCTTCCAGGACAATCAATTATTCATGCCATCTTATAGTCAAATCAACTCACTCGACCGCAGATGAAGGCTTGTCATTCTCCTCATATAATGCAACAAGAACTGCAAGATGATAAGGTGGACTTAATCATAATGTATCTAGCCAGTGGCATAACTAGAATTTGTTGATATAAACACATAAGGAACATAATGCAAACCTTTCGTGAGAGTATCAAGCACACCACTGGACTCGAGGTACTTTCTGAACGCCTCTTTCTTGGCTTCTCTATCCTACAAAGACCATCACAAGGCCATGATCATCAGTTTGGAAAAACAAATTGTAGCACACATAGCTGCACCGTATGGAGATGAGTTTGAATTTGGTTTACTCGTTGTAGTACGGTTTTTTATTTATGTGTATGGCAGTACGGTAGTATACTAGTATGCTAGCATGTGTTCTTTCTATGCTACCAGCTTGAGAGAACTGAAGCTTTTCCATTCCAGGACCCAGGACACTAAGCTGAAATTACCAAAGCTGCGAAGCAAAATGCTCGCGGCAAATGGCAAATTGGAGGAAGATTGATCAATTCTTCCTCACAAATTGCACACTACTGTACTATACTGCACCCTACAGATTCAACCAACTAAACCAGTACTCTTTACCACAATAAATACCGCATTTGACCTTTGACATTGACTCGCTGACCTCCATCTCCATGCATATGCTAGCTATACTAATCTCACCGCAGAATCAAACATCTCTCTCACCAGGGGCGGATCCAACAAACAAACTGTTACTTGTATAGTTGTATTAAGGTTAAGGCTCTGAAATTAAGGGAAGAGCTTCTTCCAGATCTAGAAGAGAAGCTAGGGTTAACGAACGAACGAACGCAAGCAAGCAAATTCCAGACCCGATGGGAGAGAGAGATGAATCAGAAAAGAGGATGCGGATGCTCACCATAATCCTCTCCCCTGCTCTGCTCGCCAGATGGAGATCGCCGCCCCTCCCCTGTTCAGCCGCGACTCGTCTTGGCGGCAGGAGACGGGAGATTTTCTTTCTTTTACGTCACAAAGGGAAGGGAAGACACTCGAGACTCTAACTACTGAGAATTAAGAATTTGCCACTGTCACACATGTCATATACTAATAAGGACACACGTAGGACACAATTCATATTATAGACGGTGAGTAGTAAATTCTTAATTACTACCTCCGTCCTATAATATAAATGATTTTGAGTTTTTGTTTGTATTGTTTGATCACTCGTCTTATTTAAAAAATTTGTGCAAATATAAAAAAACGAAAAGTTGTGTTTAAAGTACTTTAAATAATAAAGTAAGTCAAAAAAGAATAATAATGCCAAAATTTTTTTAATAAGACAAGTGGTCAAACAGTGCAAACAAAAACTCAAAATCCCTTATATTACAGGACGGAGGGAGTACCATTTTAAAAGTGGCAAAAATTTAAAAGCCTCAGACGAGTACTCTCACTTTTATCTCAATATTTTACTACTTTAAGACTAGCTATTTCTTTATAATGACTAGTGGCCCACATTCTAAAAATTAACAAACTCGGTTAGCGATCGGTTAGCGATTTGTGTTAACAGCAAACTCCTCATACTACCAGCAACCACTAACTGTTATTCCACGCACCGCCACTACTGCTCTTTCTTCATGAGCCACCATCGTTCCTCATCACTGTCTTTGCATGTGCAACCGCACCCTCTAGTTACACTGCATGAGCCACTTTTTTTCCCTCTCCCTCTCATCATGCACACTATTGTAGGGACTCACGGAGGCAGGAGTCGACCCGATGAAAAGCGGAGACGCTAGATTCAGGCTCCTTCTTGCTGGAGCTAGCGGTTCCCTGTCAGAGGGAAAAAGAAAATGGAGAGAGAGAGTTAGTGTGTGGTTGCTGAGTCACTGGACTTGGAGATGGATGAAATAAGGTGGTCCAAATTGAAATGTACAGTTAGTTGTTCTGTAAATAAAAAGAATGGTTAAAGGATGACATAATATGAAAATTTTTAAGAATACATTGTACGAACTGTAATTTACTTTTTTTTCTTTAGCACAATTAAAGATGAGTTGTCTATTACCCGATACTTCTGTGATATACTAAGTCTTAAGCACAACTAAAGATGAGTTATCTATTACCCGATAGTCTTGTGATATATTAAGTATTGTTGGGTCAGTGTACTTGGCTATTACTAATAGTCTCATGATATGTTGACGCATGAAGATGTAGACTTCTATTAACACAGGCTGATTAATTATGGCAAGATAGATTCAGCTAAAAAAAGATAAAATTAATGCCATCAATTTTGCTCAGCAATAAAGCATTCGATTATGGTCTCCTTTTCTCACTGCATGATATACGATTGTAGATATTTCCGTAATTCTTTCATATTATTTTTTTCTACATATACATTAATTTGGACTAATATTTTTTCTCATAATTAGATAGATAATAAATCATTTTTCATATTTCTCCTATAAAATGTGAAGAGGGCATTGTATAATTTCAAAATTATATTATAAGTGTATGTAATTTAATGTGTAAGATATGAACTTATAGTATAAGATTTAACTTTTTATAAAAATGTCGCACGATAGTAGATAGGTAATGAACTAAACAACCATAAAATATATAGAGAATCTATCGTGTGTTATTGATTTTGTCCTTATTCTACAATATGTCACTAGGTTTGTCAAGTTCTAATATGCTATAGCACTTTGCTTAACATCTATAACATACCATCGTCGTCTAGTTAGCTTCCGTTAGTATTATATAATTTTATCATAATGACCGAAATAGCCATGGGACGAAAAATTCCAAATACCAGATTGTAAAATTTCCAAAGTTTGAGATGGATATCTTCTCTGCCTTGTTTATAATATGATATTTCGGAATATTCGGCCAAATTTTCGAATTTCTATCCCGGGGATATTTCGGTCATTAAAACAAAATTATACAGTGCTAACGAAGTCTAAATGGACGACAACGGTATATTATAGAGGTTAAGCAAAATACGATGGTATATTGTATAACTTAACAAACTCAGTGCCATATTATAGAACAAGGACAAAGTCAGCGGCACACAGTGGATTCTCTTAAAAAATAATCTAGTCAAAAAAGTTTATTTATTTTATTCAAAACAAAACATTTTTTTACCAAACGCGTTAGGAGAACTTCAAAAGAAGGTAATAAAAAAAAGAGGTTTAGTCATTAGCTCAAACACACATGGTTTTGATAATAATATTGCTACAATCAGCACTCATACTTGCACATGAATACTAGCATCTAACTCATATGTGTGTGCTCCGTAATATATATTATCTATGTTTTTACATGAGTAAACAATAATTATTATATTTGTTAATAATATTGTAATTATATAAGGTACCTAACTAGTTTTCTAAGAAGTGGAAAAATATTTTTGTTAAACATAATCTAGAATGCTATAAAGATTAATAATGTTGAATGCTATATAATCATATATAATCATATAATGTTACTCCCAACGGATTTGGAGGTTGGAGGAGGAGGAGAAATGGCGCGGGCGAGCTATCGGCTGGATCTGCCGCCTTCAACTGATGCTGGCGAATCTCAGAGCCGTGGAGGAGAAGGAGGATGCGTTTGCGTGAAGCCGTTGTACGGTGGACCAGTGGTCGATGGCCGCTTTCGGTGGACCGGATCCACATTAATTCCCCAGTTGGCTGGGTTGGAAACTTTTTTTCCCCTCCACTTGCTAGATAAGCGTTAGATTAATATCTCTATCTCTACTATTATAAATAGAATAGAATTGAAGATGTTTTTATTGGTATTTTAATATGTTATCTGTGTTTGAGTTAGTTTTTAAGTTTGTTTACTTTTAAAAATACAGATCTGTGTTTGAGTTGGATTTTAAACTCGTTTGCTTTTGAAAATACAAAAGGAGTCATATAAGAAATCTCTTTAAAAAAACTCATGCTAAGTTAAAGATGAAATATAGCTCACGATCTTCTAATGAATTTTACCATAACTAAACCGTATAATAATAATAAAATTAAAATAGCATTTACCCGTTGCAACGTACGGGCATTTTTTCTAGTTAGATAAAAAACCTAGAAGATAGATTAATATAATTTATTAAAACAACTATTTTACATATTTTCTAAAAAAATACATCAAATTTCGCAGTTTGGAAAGCTTCTGTATAGAAAATAAAAGAGCAGAAGTTGTGAAATGTAGAGATGTTTGGTTGGGATACACTATTGCCAAAGTTTGCCATAATTCCGTTAGCTAACACGCCTAACATGTGCTTAACAAATTTGAAGCCACACTTTAGCTATAAGAGAGCAAATTTGACATACTTTTATATGCCAATGACATGTGAAACTCATATCACAGTGAATGAATTTTGCCTTAAGTATGGCACAAACTAAACAGACGCCTAACTTAGTAAAACATGCCTAACTTAAGTTATGGTATGGTGAGGTAAATTATTATTGTGAACCAAACAATTTCGTAGTGCAGAACACAGCCTAAACCAGCTAAAGGGAATGTGGAGCTGCTATCTTCTCAAGAAAACTGTCATGACTCGGTCTGAATTCGAAGAAAATAAAATAAAATACTACTACTAATTTTTTTTCTGTATTGCATGAAATTATTCAAATTATTTTCTAAGAAGAACTAGAGAGTATAAAAATGTTATTTCCTTTTTAAACTTCTAGTATTTTTTTTAACCGTAGAGCGTAGCAAAATTTCCCAGAATCATTTGGCACAGTCAAATTCGAACAGAAATCAAGAAAAATAGAACCATTTGGCCAAATCTGGAAAATGGAATTTTTTGAATTGGATCTAACTCCTGCAAAACTTCTGCGTATAAAGATCAACGAATTAGCAATTTAGCACAAACTAAGAACAAAAACTTAAAGTTCGCTATGAAGAGGTGCTAGGAAGGATATGCAAATATACATTGCATAGGAAGGATATGCAAATATGCAACGCAATGTGACGTGACATAGTAACTTCAGTTGCAACCACATTGATTTATTTTTGTTAAGTTATTATTGCATCATGTGTTTAAATTCGAATAGCCAGAAAAGATGATACATTGTCAGTTTGTCACACGGGGTAAGACAAAATCCAAGCTCAGAATGGCAATAGCAATAATGATTTAACTATGTTTTCGGATCAATAAACCTAACCGAATGCCATTCCCTAAAAAAAAAAGGCTACACTGTTAGTTACCACAAAAGTACTAACGAACAGAGTTTTGAGAAAACTAGTAATTATATACAACTTTTTAGTTTGTTATTCATGGTGTGTTTAGATTCCAAAAAAATTTGGCCAAAAATGTCACATCAAATATTTGGACACATGCATATAGCATTAAATGTGGACGAAAAAAAATCAATTGTACAGTTTGCATGTAAATTGCGAGACGAATCTTTTGAGCCTAATTGCGCCGTGATTTGACAATGTGGTGCTACAGTAAACATTTGCTAATGACGAATTAATTAGGCTTAATAAACTCGTCTCGCAGTTTACAGGTAGAATCTATAATTTGTTTTGTTATTAGCATCTTTACAGGCGAAATATGTAAAATTTTGGCCGAACATCTTAAACACGGCATCAGTTATTCTTGAAGCACTAGGCTGCGTATATTTTTATGGACGATATAGAAGAAAATCTGTACCATAACTCTAAATTTTTTTATGCTGAGGATATACAACTGCAAAAAGCCTGCATTCTGCCAACAGAAGACAGGGTGCACGATGCTGATTTTTTAAGAATCAAAAGAATTATTTATTGGGCCCTTCTTCACAGCAAAATCGAAGATCACTCTTGGAGTGCTCTAACATGGGAACTCATCTCTCTGACTTGATTCTCAAGCCGTCCTGGGTGGCAGAAGAAATCGACAAATACTCGTCTTTCCTGCTGCACATTGCGCGAAGGTTGTTGTAACATCTGCAAACCATTTGTAAATTTGAGAGCATGACTTCTCAATCAACATGCAGAAACTACCTAAAGCTGTTGAACACTACCAATGTGAGGAAGTAACAGATGAAAAGTACCTTGGCCTTTTTATCTCGAGCCATCGTTACTTCGTTAACACAAGCAGAGACTTGCTGGTTGATTATTTCCAATTCTTCAAGCGATTGTGCTACAGGCTGTGATAAATCATGCACAAGTAAAGTAGTACATCAGAACAAACTACGAAGTGGCATGGAAGAGTAGGGACATATGAGAAGGAATGTACCCATGGTGTCAATGTTGGTTGCACATATGTAAATGGTACAGACAGAATTTGCTCGAGTGTTTGGATCATCCTGCATCTGCAAAGGAATGGAGAAAGCATGGGTAATGATTGAACCAAAGATCTAACAGTCCTATCAATAGGTGTTGATGAATGCAAAGTTCAACGTTAACACATTTCTCCTGTTGATAATTCACAGTAAAGGAGATTCAACAGTTCAACTACACAGTGCACAGAAAATGGTCAAATTTATCAAGGGGAAAAGTTTCAGGAAACAATATGCGAATATTACTCACAGTTCATCGATACATCTTTTGCGTTCACGTGGAAGAACATTTTCAAGCTCATGATGAAGATACTCGAGCTCATTTTGCAGATCTGAGATCTGCTCAACTAAACCATATGCTGAAACATATGATGGAGTCATTGCTTGAGCACCTGCAGAAAATTGGAAGGGGAATGAATTGTTCAACTTCTGGTACAGAATGTGGATACAATTTACAACCTATGTGTGCTCACCTGAGTGAGTACTAAGAATATCCCTCACAGCATGAAGAAAAGTATCACGATCATCAATAGATCCTTCTTCAAGCATTACAGATGCAGCTTGACCAATTAAATGATATCGGTCCTATGCATTTGTGCAGTACAGACTATATTTTGTAAGAATGTACACAAAGTGGATAATAATAAGAGGCTAACCAACAAAATGTACTCTCAAATAAAAATATAACATCAGAAAGCAATACCAGACGGCCATCAACAACTGAGAAGTAACCCTGCAGCTCCATTGCTGCTGCTTTTAGCAGTGAATAGGCACTTGACATTTTTGCCCGTCCTTCAATCTGGCAAGCTATCTTTAGAAACTGATGAGCAGCAAGTTGATTAACCAGATAATTGATGAACTGCAAGAATGAAGAAATGCCTCAGTGACTACCTATTTATGTAGGAAATTGGTTTGCACCAAAACAACTGACTGTTCAAAAGATACCCTTTTCTGCTGGCTTATGTAGCATTCCTGACGCAGAACCTTCAAATTATGATCCCCTGGAAGGTCACAGTAAGGAACATGCAATTATATTGCCGCAACAGAGCAAAGCATTTTCAAATGATGATTCATGAGAAGATCACACCTTGCAAAATATTTGCACCCTCAAGTTGAGCAAGGTCAGCACACAGGCTTGTAATAATCTAAAGTTAAAAAAAACATTATTTTTTTATGTCACTCACAAAGAAAATAATATGTCACAGTTAATGCATAAGATAGCCAAACGGATGAAAATGACATTAAAATTGGCTATAAGCAGCAGGAACAGAGTAAATTGAAGAAGGGGTGACAGATACATAATTGCAAAGACAAACCAGTGAACATGTCAGTTTTCTGTAGTTTGCATTTTTGGAGCAATCTTTAGCGTAACTGTACATTCTTTTTATTATTTTGCCGGGGCTGTGACACCATGTTGATAAAGTGTGCTTCATAGGAATACATCATTGACCCAAGGTATCACAGAATGCAATTAATTAAAGAACTCTGAAGCGTCTGAGATAAACCATTTGCTTATCCATGGTACATTAAAAACCAAATTTCATGTACATAATAATTTACCTCAGATAGGCATCTCTTCACTTGAAGTGAAAGATCCCTAAGCTCTTCAGCAAACTCAGAGTTTCTCCTCCTGAGGATGACATGGCAAATCCAAAAAAAAAAAAGAAAAATAAAAGCAGATACTTAATTAATGAAATGTGAAAATTTTCCGAAACATCACATGTACAAAGGTTTGTTCAAGTACTACCATACAATAAATAAACAATCCATACAACCTAAATGTTCTCATAAAAAGATGAAGCGCTTTCTGGTAGATTTCGTTCAATCTACTTTTTTTAAAAAAATATATGTCATTATAATACAATGGAACCAAGCTGTTTCATTTAGAGATGTCCCATAAGGATAGTACCATGTTCTCAAAAGTTTCAGCTCAAAATAATGATGCTGTGCTATTTCAGTACAGCTTTTTTTTTTAGAAAATAATAAAGTAGCTATGATTATCCATGTCTTGCATACCTTAGAGAATGAACATCCTGATGAACAAGTGACTGCTGGGATGCCAATTGGGTTCTAAGCGTTGAGAGTATGGCCTCCTCCTTAGCATATTCTGCTTGTGCTTCTATGTACTGTCTTTTGCTTCTAGCGAATCTGTTAACAAATAACCAAGCATCAGCATAACAATAATCATGCATCTTAAAATATCAAATAAAATGTAAAAAAATGATGTTATGTGACTATATGAAGCATATTAAGTAATTCTATGCATTGTTATGTTAACTCTTTTATGAACTTTACAACAAAGTAGGAAAGATAAATGAACAAGACAACTCTCATAATGATAGGGGGGATTGCTATGCCTAAATACTCCTTCCGTTTTTTATGACTTTTTACGATGTTGATTTTTTCCTAAAATAGATTTTGTTTTTAGGTTTTCTAGGTACTTTTTTTCCTAATTACCCTTATTAAATGCTAATAGATATGAATGCCCTTGAGCTTGACCACCTCGTATGAAGCTGCCTGCCATGCCAAAACACCTGAATGACTGAGGAAGTTGGAGACTTGGAGGCTAAATTAGAGATAAAACAGATTTAATAGGGGTAATCAGGTCAGAAGTTTTCTACCTTAAGCATATTGTTAACAAAGTTTGGGAAGTGGGTGTTTGGAAGGTTGATCCATTTGTTTTTGTCAAAAACAAAAGGTTGATCCATTTGAAGAAGAACTAACTAATAAATGAGCTAAAGAAATACCTTATAGAACTACAACAACACAAGGTGTATTCATCAGAAGGCAGAGTTCATTGAATTTCATAATGAATTTGCATCACTTTTGCAGAACTAATATTCAAAAAAAGAAGTCCTAACACAGAGAGTAGGGTTGTGGCCTGCAGGTGGGCTGGCCCACTGACCCACGTATAAGACATTAGGTGGGCCACTTGAATCTCTAGAGGCAGGACAGGTGACGACCCATGGCACAGTTTTTTTTGTAGTTTTTTTTTCCCTAATGGAAAGACAAATGGGATAGTCCTGTAACATGAAGAAGTGATATGCAATAGAAAGACAAAAAAGGGTAGAACGGTGACATCCAAAGACTAATAAATACTTACATGGAATTAATTCGCTTCAGTTCAACAGAAAGATGGTGTGACCCTTCATAATCTCCTGCGCAAACAAGATGAATGGAAAATTGGCTGTTTTCTAATTCATCTCTGCCTAAAGTTGTTAAACCTCATATTGAATACCTAACCCAAGTATACATATTAATAAACATATCAACAGTGCATAGTACATAGCAGCAAAGTGAACCATGAAACCAGTGGAGAAGAACGATATCAAACCCTTCGTTTACAATGACCCTCCTGCACCCTCTAAGGGAGAAAGACCACTCTTATATTTTCAATTTTTTAAGAGAAGCAGTTGGACAAATATGTATACTAACATCAATTTAAGGACATGCATAATATCTCCTATCATGGTTCAAGGTCAATTTAAGCCAGTTTAGCTTACTCAGTGAAGAAGACAGAATTTTTATGGTAAAATTGAACGGCACAAATTCTTCAGGCACAAAAATAGGAAATCTATATGGTTACCTAATCATGATCCTTTTACCAGGAAGCTTGAGTTATCGAATAAAATAACAGGACCTGTTCGCATTTGTTTAATAACATGTGTCCATGCAAAATTTGAACTTCTAACATTTCACATAAAAAGTAATATATTGCTGAGAATCAAGGTATCTTTCTCCAAAAACATTATGCAGACACAAGAACAAGTATTGAATGTGAAATGTATGGTATGGAGAAACTACATGCATGATGACTACTAAACAATTAAACCCTCACCTCTTGACATGTCTTCTTTGGCAACAAATTGGAGAGGTCCCTGGTTGACAAATCCCCACCCAAAAAAAAATCAGCAGATGATAAATAAAGGTTATAGCTAAATTGTGAATTTAAGATTAATTTACTTTGGCAATTTATCATAATTCCACATTTAATTTACTGTATAAGAAAACAAATTAACATACTACAGTCTTTTATAGTATTTATCAACATATGAGATATGAATCACATCAAATAGAAAAATAAGGGACAATGACCTTGAGTTCACTTTAATAATTCTTGTGTAGGATCAAATAAGCTCGCCTTTGCATGTTCAAGTATCAAGATACGTCCCAACAGTCCAACACTATGTTTGTCCCTTTAGGCATAAAATAAGTTAATACCTTCTCAAACTTCTTGGAGAACCATCTGTTTAGTTCCTTGATACAAGCCAAATTTTGGATTATGTAAGACTGGAAGTCACTGTATGATAGGTAAATTCCAATATCTGTGAGGAAAGGTGGAAGACAAAATGTATTCAGAAGAATAATAAGAAATAAAAACAAGCATCGGATTCATATGATGAGCTTTATTTCAGTATCTCTATGTGCATAGATGCAAGTCAAAATGGAGTTATCAGGCTTTCTGCACATTTTAATATCAGTAATGCAGTCTGATAAGATGAATGTAATCTTTATATAACTGCATGTGAAAGACAGCAGGAATACCAGCTTCTGAATGATAATAAGACAACTCCTGGGTGGTAGCAGCAAGTTTTCCAAGTAATGAATTCATCTGCTAGGATTACAAAAACAAAAGGAAAAATAAAATATCTGAGGGACAACCTTCTTTATGATGCACAACACTGAACAAACAGGCTAGAGAGTACCATATATTTTAATTCACATTAGTCATGGAGTGTTGATTATGCCATAAAACAGAACATCAACATGCATAAAAATCTGTGAAAACAAACAGCCCAGTGAACGCTTTCCTTTTTTCGCATCTACGGTTATAGCCTTCAATATCTGATCGCTGATAGATCCTGATCGCCAAGGGACCGATCAGGACGATTGATCATAGATCAGCCTTGATTAATCGACCTGATCGGTACTATGTATACCAGAACCTATATTCTATATAGTGCATAGTATAAACCAATCACAGTACTAATAATTGATGGCAAGATGGTCACTCACTTGCCCTAGTATAAAGCAACTAGCAGTAGTAGCACATATTCACATGTGCTAAACCTTAAGACTAGTTCTAAAAGTGATTGATAGGTGCTCTGATCGGACGATTAATCGGACGATCAGATTTCTGATCGAGCTGATCAAATGAATGTCCCTGATCAGAGTTAGGGGACCGATCAGGACAATTAATCACGATTAATCGGACGATCAGATAACACTGATAGCCCTAGGCCATTAGATCATAAAGTCTACTGGTCTGGTTAGTTATCAAACACTATCATGTTCCAACCGATTATAGGCTAGATAGGTGACAGGTTCTAAAGCCAGACATGAGTATCATGGTGTAATATGAAAAGCATATTTCAGTTCCATCTATCTCATGAAAATACAGCCAAGAACAGTAGAATACAGTAATGTGGCCTCTGATTTGGATGATAAAACAAAGGAACATTTTACCTCTAAACTTCTCTTAGCAAGTTTCTCATCTAATCTTGAAATTTGTATATTAGGATTAGTTTTAGCAGATACACGTGACTTCTTTCCCTGAGTAATGGTGGTAGCTTGTGCTGTAAGCATATCAAGCTGCCATTCAAGAGAAGCAAGCTGCCTTTCCAAATCAGAAACTTCAGCTCTGAGTGTAAGCTTTGAGTCACTGTAACAAATAATCAGAAAATCCTATGTCAATGAAGAGATCAAAACAGCAGGGTAACGAGATAAGACTAGGTGTTGACATGGAGCGAATCATGTGGGGCTGCGCTACCACTGACAGAACCATCTGTCAATCACTCTCAATGTAGGAGTTCAGTTTTACCAAAGCATCTAGACCAAATAAATTAGGGAATGATGCCATTTTATAACACGTGTTAAACCAAATAAATATTTATACTTGTAATCTGTAAACATCACAACAGAAGGTGGACAACTACATATGCAGATCCAAACAAGAGGAGCATCGAATGCTTTTCCTGTGTAAGACGAGATATGACATACCGGATGTGCTCAAGACTTTCTTCTGTCAGAAATGTGTCTTCCTGGTTTTCTCCAGTCTCTGAGAAGGCCGAAATACTGTCAAACGCAAAGTCTAAGTCCTCCCCCTAAAAGTCGGTGCTCAATTAGCAGCATGCCACTCACTAGATAGAGCTAATACATTGCGATAAGTGAAAACAAGACTAATCATACCAGTAAATTTTGTTAACCAACATGGTTTTCGCCTAACTAATAACCATCACATGTAACTCACAGTCCAAGTATTTAAGTTTATCAAACAAAGAAACCAAAAAGCTCTATACCTCCAAAAGTTTCCCTTCTAGTTCAAGCTGCTCATACCTGCATTTAAAAAAAAAAGATCACCAATTTATAATTAAGCTTTATAAGCATCATCAGAAATCGTTACACAGTAACAAAAAAACATTGTGTAATACTACAATTCATATTATCATAAGTTGGTAACGTGCAATTGATCCAACTAAACCAGCTCTCATAGTATAACTACACCTACAACCTTAACTAGATAGTGTCATGCAACTTCTGACTTCTATGGTTTATAGTACTTTATACTACACATTTGTCCATCAAACTTCAGAAAGCATGTGCAGTGCTGCGCCTTTTCTCATCAAAGCCCTTCTCCTCCTCAAGTTTCAAAAACAACTCCGATTTGCCCATCACCATTTCGCATCCCAGCACACACCAGAGTTCATCCAACCCCTCAAACCTCCAAACAATTACACCCATACCATACCCTCTCCATCCCGTTCGAATCAATCAACCCCCCCAAAACCAAGCGTAATTCCGAAAAAACGCCCCCCCAAAACATCTAGAACGCGACGATCAGAGAGAATTTCGTGGGGGGGGGGGGGGGAAGGGGATCGAGCGATGGGGAGTGGTACAGGGCGAGGTCGGTGGCGGAGAGGACGTTGGCGGGGCGGAGCCTGGAGGAGACCCAGGCGAGAAGGCGGCGGGCGTCGTCCCCCTGGAGGAACGGCCACTCGAGGCTGTCCAGATCGAGTGGGCCGTCGCCGTCGAACCCGGCGGCGGCGAGGGCGTCGCACAGCTCCGCCGCGCTCATCGATCGCCGGCGAACGAAGCGGCGGTGGGAATGGTGGAAAAGGAAAATATATTTTTCGCGAGGGGGAGGAGGAGTAGGAGGGACGATGGGCCCGTGGGCCCTGGTGGTGGGCTTGACCAGATATGGGCCGGGCTATCGGCCCAGGAGTGGCTGGTTTTTCTCCCATGGACATTTTGGCCACACTGCACAGTGTGATCTGATATTCTGATCATCGTCGTAGATTTGTACTCCCTCCGTTTTATATTATAAAATATTTTTTCAAGCAAACATCTTTAAGTTTGATTAATTTATAAAAATATTTAGCAACGTCTATAGCACTAAATTAGTTTTATTGAATCCCACATTGAAAATACTTCTATAGTATGTTTGTTGAAATTGTTGCTATGTTTTTCTTAGTTAAACTTAAAAAATTAGATTAGTGAAGAAGTCAAAGCGTTTTATACTATGAAACGGATGGAGTAGTAGTTATAGTTCTAACATGGCGTTTTGTGCTATTACTTTTTGAATTTGTAGCACAAAACAAACCAATGGAATTATGGAAAAGTATGAGTATTATTAGCCCCTTAAGAAAAAAAGTGAATAACTGCATTCTAGAGTGATTAGCATTGTGGGTCAGGAGAAAACCAAAATGGGCCACGGCTTGGGCCAGTCCCTTTAGGACACATTGTTGCTACCATGATGAAAACTAATGCTATTCCTCATGTTGTAAATATTTGACATTTATAAGATAATATTCTCTTGACTTTTGAAACCAATACTATTAGAATAATTTAAAAAAGAGTAAAAAATCTAATAAATCTGTGATATCATTATATCTTTCAAGATATATCTATGCATATCACTTCATTGTTTTTACATTAAGCATTTGAGAAATTATTATGATGGCCAAAGTCTAAAAGTATGATAAAAACTTGTCTAAAAGTTAAAATAATTTTTTTAACCGAAGGAGCATAAAGTCTATCTTAGTGGCCCGGGCGACCCGGGGCCTGGTATATACTGTAAATGTCTCTGGATATGGTATATATTAGTGCTAGCTATATGTGGGCATGTGGCCATATTCATTGAATCTATAGATACGGCTGGGACTCACCAAATATAGATGGCAATAATTCTCTCGTCTGTTGTAGAGTCACGTTATCTCAAAAGGGAGAGTAGTTATACTTATAGCGTCATATTTTCACAAAAGAACAATCAAATTGTTTTTTATATTGTATAAACTATATATTCTTGCATTTATAATTATATTGTGCCTTTTCAAATTTAAAGAGTAATTATATTGTAATTTTCATTGTGATTTTTCTAATACACGATGTATAAGAGAATTAGGATTAAAAATAATTTATTATCCATTTGGAAGAAGAGATAGGAGAAATAAGCATGTTTACATATAGGAGAGGAAGCAATCAAATAGGAAAAAAATGACCGAAATTAAGTGAAAAAGTGTGGTGTCTCAATTTTAGCCAACACATAACTAGATTAGTTTATCTAAGATGACTACAGATCAAATATTTATAATTATCTGCTTTTGATTGGTCAAATCCCTTGAGATATCAAAGGCACCTTGTAGTTACATCTAAATCTACTTACCATATATTTACGAGCAATCTTTTACGCGTTCGTGAAAAAATAAATCTAATTAATTATCATCAGCGCCAAGTCTTAAGCTACCCCTTTAGAGGCATTTATTTTCACCATGCAGAGGCATGCCTTGATCTAATATGTAACTACCCGCCTCGTGCGCAACTTTTATAGATTAACTTGTTGATATGAGTATTCTATTAAGCCCTGCGCCGGGATGTCACACAATATACCGTGGGCTGGTTTGGGCCTGGACCAAACCTGTATCGGCCTCTATTTACCATATAAACATTTAATTTTGTCAGGAAAATATCAAAGTTTTAAGAGGGTTATATGCGGCCTATATATGCATTCCTATTATTTTTCTACTGTTTCAGCATCGGCATTAATCATAGTTCAGATAGCAAAGAATCCAATAACTAATTGCAACTACCACACGCACGGTTAGTTGATTATCCATTGAGATCAAAGAACTCGATCAGCTTGTACAGCCGCCAGGACGATCATATAATGAAAATTAGGATCAAATTAATCTTGTACTTGAAATCTTATAAACACCCAATACTTATTACCGATGATGGTACCAGATACTCCGTCCGTGTATCAGAATATAACAATTTTTGACTATGTATCTATCTGAACAAGAGTATGTTCGGACATATAGTTAAAAATTACTATAATCTATTATATTATTAAAGGAATAGAAAAGGTAGCCTCCATGTTCGCTCTCATGGTTTAGAAATTCTCACATTAATCGGAGAAAAAGAAAAGGCAAAGTCCATATAGAAATACAATTAGAAAATAGCTGAAATTCGGAATTAAAAAATAAGGAATATTAGAAGAGGAGACTAGAGTCCATATAGAAATATAATTTAGAAATAGTTAAAATTCGGAATTAAAAAATAAGGAATATTAAAAGAGGAGACTAGAGTCCATATAGAAATACAATTAGGAAATAAATGAAATTCGGAATTAAAAAATAAGGAATATTAGAAGAGGAGACTAGAGTCCATATAGAAATACAATTAGGAAATAGTTGAAATTCGGAATTAAAAATAAGGAATATTAGAAGTCGAGTATAGAGTCAATATAGAAATACAATTATGAAATAACTGAAATTCGAAATTAAAAATAAGGAATATTAGAAGTAGAGTATAGAGTCAATATAGAAATACAATTAGGAAATAACTGAAATTCGGAATTAAAAATAAGGAATATTAGAAGTAGAGTATAGAGTCCATATAGAAATACAATTAGGAAATAATAGAAATTTGAAATTAAAAATAAGGAATATTAGAAGTAGAGTATAGAGTCCATATAGAAATGCAATTAAGAAAAAAAATAGAAATTCGGAATTAAAAAATTAAGGAATATTAGAAGTAGAGAATAGAGTCCATATAGGAATTTAAAACTAACTAAAATTTGGAATAAATATAATAAAATTAAAAGTAGAGTTTAGAGTCCGTATAAAAATACAATTTATAAATAACTGAAATTCGAAATTAAGAAAAACATGGGAAGAAGAGTTTAAGGTCAATATAGGAATACAATTTAGAAGTAACTGAAATTCGAAATTAAAAATTAAAGAATATTGAAAGATGAATTTAGAGTCCACATAGAAATACAATTAGAAATAATAAAAATTCAGAAATAAAAATAAATAATATTGGAAGAAGAGCATAGGGTCTATATAGAAATACAATTTACAGAAAATTCGGAATAAAAAAAAAGAAATATTAAAAAACGAGTCTGGAGTCCATATAGGAATATATATAATTTACAAATAACTAAAATTTAATATTAAAAATAATTAATAACTAACACATATATAAAATATAATATGAATATTAAACATTAGTAGTTTTGTAAAGTTATTGCAAAATTTAAAATTATGTTGTCATTTTAATATATTTGAATAATATAATGAGAAAACATATATGCTATTATATGAGAGAAAATATAATGATGCTAGCCGCACAATCTGCGCGGGCCACCATGCTAGTTTAGGATAAAGATAACAACAAATATTATCAATATCATATAAATATATAATCTTTAATTGGGGTTACATATCTGGAGGCGTGGTGTACCAAGAATTTACAATCATGTTCATACATTTTATTTCCCATTCATCCTATATACTGCTATAAGAATACGATCAAGCTTCATCTGCTAAATCTTAACTATATGCATGATCAAATTTGTGATCGGTAAACCTTATATAGAACCATATGGTATGATGGTTGACGGCAACCTAATTAATTAGTGACCGGCAGGAGCAGGAGGGCGGCAGTAGCCACCGGCGCCATTCCCGTTGGTGCAGCCGGACGGCAGCGACGAGCTCTCCATCGTCCACGACTCTACCACCACACCACTTTTCCTCACAACCGGCACGGCCGTGGTCTTCTCCATATTGACCATCGGCCGCGCCGCCATGCCGCCGGAGACCAGGAAGACGAGAAGAATGACGGCAACAATAGCTGCTACCACTGCGGTAAACCTCATGATCGATCGATCGATCAAATGCTTATTTTTTATTTTTTTTGACTGGGGATCAAATGCTTAATTCTATCGGTGCCCAATCTTGCAGTAGGTCCTTGCACTCTCTGCACATATTTATAGTCACACGGATGCATATGCATGCATGAATACATATTGTCGATCGCCTGTGTGCAGTGTCATCACTAGTGGAGTTACTGGAGTATGGGGAGAGAGAGACGTTTTGCGTTGGAATTTGACTTAGAAACAACGTTAATAATTTGTCGCAAAGGGGAGACGAAGTGACTGATTGGTTGAGCCACGGCTGGTAAATCATAAAAAGGATAAACGAAGCATCCAAAAATAATTTAAAACAATATTTTGCACTTCCACTGTTTTTTAAGAAACACAATATAAACATAGGCGTTCTTTGAATTCGAGGATAAATGAAGGAAAAATAAAGGAATTGAAATCCTATGTTATCCATGCCTTTGATTCGTAGAAATGAGAAAAGGAAAAACGTAGGAAACTTTCCTATTCTTACGATTCTAGAGGAAAAACGTAGGAAATTTAACATCCACTCTAACCTCTTGTAAAACTTCACTTGAGTCTATCTCTCTCATCTGATTCCTGCGGTCCAATCAAATGTTCATTCCTTTATTTTTCCTATGTTTTACAATTCTCTGTTTTATACTTGTATTCCTATCATAATACTTCCTGTGTTTTTCATATTCCTATGATTTTTCAATCCTACGATTCAAAGGGGCCCTTAATATTTTATAAGCAAGAGTTAGAAAATATATAGACTATATATGATGTAAAAATACCTAGATCGATCAGTAAAAAAATAACTTTCAAATTGAAATTTTGCTAGATAAGCTGTCGAGCAGAGTTGACGAGGTTGTCAATGGATATATATCATCAATTCACAGAGCGACCACGGTGTGCGACTCATCAGTGATCGGTGGTGTCATTTTCAGACTGCCGTACGTGCATGCATTTTTCCAGGGGAAGCAACATGGAAATGCATGGGTGCGCAGGGTGACCTTTTCCCTGCTCATGTGTCAAAAGAAGGAGAATGTTGTCTGCACGATCTAATTTAGCAACAGTGGATGGTTAGGAGTTTTTGTCAACTTTTAGGTGCATGTATGTATGTTGCACGATTGTGGCTTGATATTAGAAAAGTTAGCTATGTGCATGCGGATATTCCTTAATACACGTACTCTATTTCTAACCCCAGATCCTAGAATCTTTAGCAGTATAAACACTGATTAGATTCGACTTTCATCATCTAAGGGCGGATCCACCTTCTAGGCGGGATGGATGGCTAGGAGTTTATGCCCTCAAACCATTAAGGTCGAGCGACAATGACAGAGTTAGAACCGAAGCCCTGCAAGATGGTCAACTCCCTAATAACCTTTAAAATTTCATGATTTTTAATTCAAATATTAATGATTTATAGTACCTAACGTTTAACTGTGAAATCATACTAGAAAGTTATGCACATACTCATTACTAATAGGTACTCTGTTTCTAACTCCCGATCCTAGAATCTCTAGGATAACACTAGTCGAATCGACTATCATCTACTAGGAGGATCCACCTTTTGGGCTGAATGGATGATTGCCAATGTTTCACGCCCTATGCAAGGGAGTCAATTCCTCAATAACCTTTAAAATTTCATGAATTTTGATTCAAGTATCAATGGTATATATATACCATAACTATGTGCAAAAACTTGTGGAATCAGCTGGCCCGGCCCACAGGTGGAAGAACATGCAATGGCTATTGCCGAGCGACATCCCAGCTAGAAACACAAAATAATGAGGTTATAAGGTTACTTTGTAACATATATAGTCTTAACCCAAATTAACTAAAGATTTGTAACATATATAGTCTTAGTTAATTTGGGTTATAAGGTTTGTCATGGCTTTACAAAATTCATAGCTCTACCACTATCAGCCCGTCAATCCATTGATTATTATAGGACTTGGAAAGAGGATTTTTGAAGTAGCACATCCTCATAGTGCCACCAAGTTATTTTACTTCCTCTAGAATGCTACAATCATATACAGGTTAAACTATTTTCTATGAAATTACTGTAAAATCCATATTATTGAACAGGCTCGGTGAATTGCAAAATGATTAATGAAAAAGATGGAGCCAATGCATTGTTTAATATATGACATCGTTGATTTTTAGATTTACATTTGACTATGCGTCTTATATAATTCTTTTATGCAAACATTTTAAAGAAGTTTTAAAGATAAATTAAGTTATAAAATAAAAAAGAATGATGAGACATATCTTAAAAAGTTAATGATGTTATATATTAAAAAACCAAAATTATTAAATAAAAGGAACCCTAAACTTAGAAGCAAACGGGCCTTTAACCGGCAGCATGCACGTACGCGTGGCAAAAGAAAAACCGATGGAAGAAAATGTGTGCCGGCTATCAGAAATGTCAAACCAGGGCCTAATTCTCTCTTAACTATAGTATTGTCCTGCAGGCCACGACCTGAATCAAAACCTGGATGATTGGATAACCACCCATCATGGCACGGGCCTAACTCGATCACAATATACCCTTTTTCAAAGGTCAGCTGTATGTTGTCCGAGTTGTCAGTAATCGGAGCATAGAATTCAATTAAAAGGGTTGTGATTTTAGAGGCCTAATTTGACACATTTACCAAGAAAAATGATTAGTACTCCCTGTCTCAAATTATAGGATGTTCTTATTTTTAAGAAAAAAATCAAACTCGATAGTTTTTATTAATAATTACATTAATGATATCTACACCAAGTATTATGTATGTTATATTATTGTTATTAGATTCGTATTTTAAAATACTTTCATGTGATACTAGTTTTATAATTGTTGATGATATAATACGAAATAAATTAATAATCAAAATATGTTATTAAAAATCGTGTAAAAAATTATAGGCCTTATAATTTGAAACAGGGGTAACACGTAAAAATTCACAATTTCTGACCTAATTTTTTGAAATTTCAAGTTTATTGGTGGATTCGTTTAGGATGTTTTTCCATACAAACATAATCCTCCCCAGTCCTTCCCAATTTTGGATGTACCGATGGGTTCATGTAGGACGTTTTTCCATGGAAAAAAAATCATTCTTTAGATTTAGTAAACCATTTTAAACTTCAGATTTTTTTTCAACATCCGAAATTTAAATTTTTTGGTGTCCTGAAATGATTCGGCAATCCCAGATAGTGAACCCTGAGCTCGATCGCCACCCCTTGTTCTATGAGAGCTGCATGTTTAGTTCAGTTAATTGTTGGGCTCTAGGCTTTTGCAAACGTTTTCAAGAGAAAAGGAAACTTCATTTCAAATAAGTTGTTCTAGAAAATGGCTCAAAAGTGTGAAGTTGAGCTATGCAACTAGTTACTTCCTCCGTCATGAGTGGTTTAAATCTAGTATTCTTTTTTGGGTAGATGCCGTACCCCGTATGTACACACGTATATGAGCACCTGTTTTTATAACGTGTTTCTTTTTTAAAAAAATGATATGGCTCAAAAGTCTCCTTGGAAATTAAATGGCTTTAAAGACAATTCTTGATGACTCAAAAGTGTGTTTTTGCCGCTTTCCAACTTTTTTTTGTTTCGTCAGGTCGCTGTACTAGAAGCGCCTGACATGTTGACAACTGCTCATGAGTCATGACACTAACCAATATGCACATGCTGATATATAGAGATATAGCCGGTCGGTGGCGTGCATGCATTGCTTGCCTTTCGCATGGCTTCCTCAGCTGGCTCACTGCAAGAAAGATTTTGCAGAGAGTCGATTTTGCTCAAAGTCAGATCTTATCAACCAAATCGTACAAATGTGGACCTCAAGTCTTTTGACAACTTATTTTTGGTGCAAAGAAAAGTGTGCATCCAACATTTCGAAGTTATTTTCTCCTCAAAGTTTTGTACTTCCATGTGATAATGGGGTTGAACCAAATGGCAGCAGCAGAACGTAGAGAGAGACATCCAATGCATGAGGGAGGTATTTGCCATTTCAGTACTTCTCTGTACTTTTTCCCAGAATTTTGGCGATCCCGAATTCAAATATGCAGACATTCTTCGCAGATTTTGCAACAATATCAACAATAACAAGTTGATGCTTAAATACAATACCATAGGATCTGCGAACGCCGCCATACATCAACAACAATGTCACACCAACAGCCTATCGGCTGCCAGATTAGTTCTTACAGCACTGACTCGGTTACCCCCTTACAAAACCTCGACAAATTTACAACACGGAATACCACATGGTCTCTGTACCAAGGTTCTTACAAGGAGAATGCAAAAAAAATAATCCAGCAACAAACACACTGTTGTCGGGACATGATGCCGTCATCGGCGATGTGAGGTATAAATTAAATCGAAAAATTGCACGGGAATGGGAATGGATCATGAGTTAGGTTTGTACAGCAACATTCGCAGCACCTGGCTTTCCCACATTCTTCATGACGCCCTTGGTCGCTCTGGGTTTTGCGGCTACTCCAGTCTTTGGAGCACTCTTCGGAGAACATTGGGTCCTGCTGTTAACTTCTTTGGAGTTCCCAATACTGTGACGATGTAACCGGCAACATGCTGCACTTCCATTTTTACCCTCTGGTGTATGAGGGGTATCGCTGCAGCTCTTTCTCCGTGTCAATTTTGGTGATTTGGCACGAGTTGGAGGCACCTATAAATAAAAGACAAAGTGAATACCAACATTGCACATGCTAAAAGCTGGCAAGTTTAGCACATACTAAAAGTTGGCAAGTTAATGGTCGCCAGTTGAACCAGCAGCTTGCATACCAATGCTTCATGCAACATTGTGCACTTCTATTATTATCATACAGGAAAACATAAATACTGCATTTACATTAGCTATTCTTTTTCCCTGCGTGTTCGAGAAAAAACATTAACTACTTTTAAGTAATGTAAAAGCCTGGGACATCTCTCGTACTCTTATTGTTCATTCAGGGTATTCCCAATTTAATTATGGCTCTGTTCGGCTGCACTGCAATGCAGCCCTTGCTGCAGCAGCTACAGACACATAGTACTGTTTGGATTGGCTGCACTACAGTTGAAACAAGTGCAGTTGAACAGGGCCTATGTAGATAACAATAGGAACAAGCATGTAGTCGAGTATGTTTTTACAGATACGCAATCAGTTCAATTAAAGGGAAAAGATCTAAACAGTAATGGGTTGAGATATTATCACTTGAATTAAAATTGCATTCAACAACATGAACAATAATGAGCACACATCGAAAAACAGAAATAATCATTTTAGCTCAAGCACATATAGCAGGAGATCGGTGCATCACCTTCTTAAGTTCAACCTTAGGTGGGGGACCCTCTTGATAGAAGCTTGGCATGGGTTTTGCTCTAATAACCAGATTCTTCCTTAGTTGTTTCAGAGCTTCTTCTTGCTCTTCCTATAAAAGTTGATACTTGGACAGTGAGAAGGTATGGCAACAATAATTAGCAAAAGGGAAAATGACCCTGCTAATGCAAAGTTAAATTAATAAATTGATCCAACTTGTCTACTACGCTAACTGCCATGTCATAAAATTTCTAACAGTGTAGAAAAAGCAACATAATGATTAACAGTCATCAGTAACAAGACGTAGCACAAACCATTCAGTGAATCCAAATTATACATGTGGTGTCTAATAACAGGTAACAGGCCATAATCAATGTCAAATACTCTGTAGGGCTACCCTGATCATGGTAAGAAATATCATTAGGGCTGTCTATTAGAGAGAGAGAAAAAACTTGGGCTGTCAGCTGTCGGTGTCTTGTAAAGGGATGATACCTACATATGATACTTGTTTCCTCCACAAGTCAAGTTACACTAACTGATTTCTGACCATCAGTTTTTCCAAAACAAATCAAGATGGACATTTCATGATTAAAGGCAAACTAATTTGCTGAACAAGAGCAAAATCTGGTATGGGTGCTTATATATTTAAAAGAGTAAAGTGCACAGGCGGTCCTTAAACTTATAGAGGTGTGTCATTTAGATCCCTAAACTCTCAAAATGCATATCTAAGTCCCAGAAGTTGTCAAAGTGTGTCATCTAGGTTCCAATTCATCACAGCTCCTCTAGGATCCTTCGTGGCACTGATGTGGCATGCCACACGGGTGTGATGTGGCATCATCTTGACTGAAAAATGGGACCCACTTAAAAATTTCCCTTTTCTTTCTTCTCCTTCTCTTTTTTTTCTTTTCTTCTTCTTACTCTATGACCCTAGCACCCCGTGCGGTGCTGGCCTACAGTTGCAGCGAGAGGAAGAAGAAAGGAAAAGAAAAAGAAAAAGAAAAAGAAAAGAAAAGAAGAAAAAAAGAAAATTTTTTAAGTGAGTCCCATTTCTCAGTTAAGATTATGCCATGTCATATCCGTGTGGCATGCCACATCAGCGGTACGTACGATCCTAGAGGGGCTGTGGTGATTTGGGACCTATTTGACACTTTAATAAGTTCTAGGACCTGGATCTGCATTTTGAGACTTTAGGGACCTAGATGACACACCCATACAAGTTTAAGGACCGCCCATGTACTTTATTCTATTTAAAAAAGCAGAAACAATTGAACTACTAAACAGCTCCATATCACAATGGGAGACTAGAATTTTCAGCATGTTTTGTTGTGTCATCTGGCAGGGTTCTCAAGTTCAACGTTAACGGTGATTGAAAGCCATGATAGTTGGGGTCTTGGGGATCATTTACTAGACTACCAAATTGGGATGGTCTACTGAAAGCAATTCCAGTTATTTCATCTTTTTTGCAAAGTCCGAAAAACGCTTTGAGATTCCATTTACATAAAAGTGAAACTAGATAGAATGGTGTGAATTAAACATTTGAACTGTAGATTTTTGAATTTCAAATAACAAAATTTCAAAAGATAAGACATGATTCATGAGGAGGTAAAAAATGTCTGAAGCAAAACACAATTCAGACATGACATCAGAAAGGCTACTTTACAGATTTACATTATATAGGAAAAACCGAGCATGAATAATTGTGTTGCTCTGTATGCCACTATCACAATGGCTCTAAAAGAATCAAATGACAAAAGAAACAAAACCTACCTTTTTTCTTGCCTCAGCTTCTAGTTTCTCCTCTTCCAAGGCCTTGCGTTTTTCTTCCAATTTTGTGTAAAACTGAACGGTACTAGAATAATTATTACAATGCTGTCCCCTTTAACTTACAAAGCCATTTCTCTACAGTATGATGAAATTAAATACGTACCTCTCCCCTCTTCTCAAGACGATTACCACATATAAAAGTAGGTGCGACAGGAACTGTTGTCTTCTTAATTTTTCCAGTCCTTGCTGAAGTTACAGTTCTGGATGAATGAAGCTCAGGAAAGCCCAATAGAAATAAAGAGAACATGATATATTTCTAGTTTTCCACCAGTTATGAAGAGTTGAAGACATTAAAGAAAAAGTTAGACAAATTTTCTGTGTTTTAGTAATTCAAGGAACAAAATGTTCAAAGCATGTAGCTATATCCCAATTGTAGCTATTATGAATAGTGTAGGTGTGGCTGCGAAGAATAAGGCACACATGAGAAATCAAGTCAATATCTGAAAGGATACGAAGTAACCGAATATGAATCATCTTCGTGACTATGGGAAGTACTGTCAGCTTGCAGAGGCTTCCTGGGTGTCACTGATGGACTCTGCAATCCATAACCATGGAAAATATTGTCAATAGAACTGGCTTATTTCATCTCAAGAGAGCTTACTACAGTTTATGCCAGCCAAACAGAACTGCAGTCACAGGCATACTCAAGTAAACAGAAAAGAAACTAATAAAAATTTTCTTGTGTACATAGGGGGTTCAGGTTGATGCAACAAATTGTGGCTTATTTAGATAACTGTGTAGGATCTTCCAAATATCATCCCAATTGCCAAATCAAAGCATATGTTGCACCATTTCAAGTGATAGATGACCCATACCTGAAGGTTAAAGCTAAAAGAATACAGAAATTTACTGAGATAATACCAACAAAATGATGCATCATGACATTTATTCCAAAATTAAATAGTATTCAGGCGATTGTGCAACAACAAAGCAGATAAAACATATATGATACAATGTGAAATAGAGTATGTCAGACCTTCTTCGCCATACTTGCCAGCGAGGTGCTACTTTTATCAGAGAGTTTTTCACCGTTGCTGGTGGGATGAGGCACTGGAGTACAATCTCCTTCTCCAGAATCCTCCCTTTCAGTTGCAGGAGCAAATGGCTGAGGAACAGTGTGGTTTGACTCTTCCTGTTCAGCTATACCATGGTTTATTGGTGAACTGGGAAGAGAAGACTTCTGCTGATCAACCAGCTTCAGCACATCTTGATCTGCAGGCACTCCATCCTGGACATTCCCATTCATATGTGAGTCTATAGTAGAAGGGGTTTCTTGCCCTCTTGAAGAATCTTCATCATGCCTGCCACTCATAACTTCTGTATGACCAGCTTTCCCATTTGGGGGACATATAACCACACAATCTGATTCATCATCCGTGGACATTTCTACAACCCCTTTGCCGCTTGGACTGCAAAAATAAATAAAAGGTATAAATACATGCATGACTGCATAGCTGGAGCCTTGAAGCCCCTCACAATAGATCAGCAAAAACAACAGAGTTATTACTTATTAAAGAGACAAACAGTGAGCTAATGTAGTATTTTATATTGCACTATCTTAAAATAAAAAAAGGATAACTACCCAATCATATGAATTATCAATGACATGCAAGCAACTATGACTAAAGACAAGCAGAAGAATTCCACATATGCTAAAATGTTAACGAAACAGGTGTGTGCATGTAGAGCCATCACAAAAAAAAAGGAGGGGGGGCTGTCGAAGCTTTCTAAAACAACAAATATCGCAATGATATGCATTTATTTGTAAGTTTTAACCAAGAGCTGTAGTGTCAACTTGAAGGTATTATCAGTACATTTGGTGATGTCTCTTAATCATTTCAAACTCCAATTGTACTACATTGTTCTAGAATAATCAGTGCACCATACTTATTTTTTGTTCACGTTATATCAACAAGTAAATACTTGTAGTAATTTAAGCAAGTGCCATCATAGCCAGAACTCCAAATTACTCACATAAATTCTACTTAAATTCATGTAAAAATTTGCAAAACTATATTTTGAAGAATCAAAATCGATTCCACAATCCTGAGAAATAGTTTCTGATTATAAATACCACTAGCCAAAAGAATTAGTTAAGTTTGAATCATTAAGCCCACAACATCCCTTGCAATATAAAATTGAAGTGGCGCAGTCCTAACACCTTGGCCACTAAGACAAAATCACAAATTTATCCAAACAAATAGCTTAGAAATGGCAACACTTTTAAAAATGCTTTGCAACACGTCACGCGAGAATATAATTCCCCCTCGACAAGTTCAACGCCACGTCCAGCAGAAGCATTCAAAGAAAAAAAAATCCAGCGCGACTACAGCATATGCCAATTTGATATCCTTTCGCAAAAACCAACTGATGAAATGGCAAGCCAGAGCCCAATTCGCTCGAATTATTTAAAGATCCGCACGAACGCGCCCTCAACTCCTTGCAGCAGCGGAACTATCAACCCGCCCTCAATGCCATTGACGCAACCGGGAATGCGATTAGAACAGTGACCATTTTGCGGCAATAACAATGGAACACAGACATTGAGCTAAGCAAACCATTCCGAACCATTCAAAAGCCAACGCCTCCACTCCCCGCATGCGAAACCCTAGTCACCCCCCCCCCCCCCCCCACCAATCCAAAAAAAAAAATCCCACCAAAAACTCGAGAAAATTTCCCCTAGAACTCCACCGGAATCGACCACGGAGCCACTCAGATCCACCGACAACCCCAGGAAACCACACACCAACACACCATTAGCCCCCCGAAAACCTCGCCCCCCAAAAAAATAAAAAATCAAAGGCCAAAACTAGATCAAAGCCATCGTCATTACGTGCTGTCGGCCGCCTTCTCGGGCAGATCCCACCGCCGCCTCGCCGCCGCCCCGGCGTCCCCTCCCCCTCCCCCTCCGTTATCCTCCGCCGTCGCCGCCGTCGTGCCTAGCCTCTGCAACCCCCCCCCCCCTCCCCCTCCCCTCCTCCCCTCGCCTCGCCTTCCCCCGCCGTCAGTGAGCAGCAGCGCCGCCGGTGACCTCGCCTCCACCACCACCACCGCTTCTCTCTCCCTCTCCAAGTCTTCGCTTGCTCAGCTCGGCGACTCGCTCGCGACCTCGCGGCGTGCGCGTGCGCGTGCGTGCGTGTGTGCGCGTGAGAGTTTGGGCGAGGGTCGCGGCCAGGAGGAGGAGCGGCGGGTTGTTTGTGGGGGCGGAGGGGGGAGGTGGGGCCCACCGGTGACCGGGTGAGGTTACCGCGGGGAGGAGGGGGGATTTGGTTTTGACCAGCCACGTGGAAACTCGGGTTAGTTAGCATTTCGTTGGCTATTCTGATTCTGGGAATCGTTAAATAAGTAGTAATGATAATTTTATTTTAATTAGATTAAATGGGTTTTGGAGCAGTGTTTTGTCGTTGCGAAGAGCGGTGACCTCTCACCTGTGTGATCACGTTAGTTTGCTTTCATGTTTGGTGTGAGAAAATAAACCAGTGCATGGTAGTCTCGTATTATATAATCTTCATTCTTCGATCAATTATTATAGTTGTGATGTTTGATGAAATCGACAGTGTTCAAATGGGTGTAGAAGATACATGCGCGTGTGTATTATAGTATTAGGGCTCATTTGAATCGTAGAAATGAAAAAAATTGAGAAATAGGAAAAACATGGATTCTAACATGAATGTAAGTGTAAAATAGAGGATTGTAAAATACGGGAAAAATATAGAAATAATCGTTTGATTGAACCGTAAGAAAAATATTGGATGAGAGGGATAGACTCAGAAATTTTTCCAAATGGTTGGACCTCTTGCTAAGTTTCCTCTAAAACCTACGTACATAAGTCATTCCATACAAAAATTTTAGGATTTGGAAAATTCCAATCCTTTGAGTCAAAGGGCTACGTAGGAAAATATGTTCGCTTCACTATTTTTGTTTATTTAATATTTATATCTTGTATGACATGTACTTTGAAAAACAATGACGTATTGTTTCGATAACCTTTGAAAAGGGTTGGGAGTACATGCAAACAATGATGGAGCACAAAAAAACAAATATATGTAGGCCAAATAAGACGGGTAATGGCCATTTAGGTGACGGGTGGATAAAACGAGCGAGTGGCGACAATGGACAATGAATAGGATAGGTGGTGGCGTAAAGCACGGCGGTGCTACAGTTGAGGCGTTGAGCGGTTGGGGGCAAGAGCGGGAGGTGTCCACACGTCGGTTTTGTCCACTGGTGCACTTGTCGGCCCACTAAAGCACCAATCATAGTAAGTAACGACCCACCAATATAGTTACAGACTCAAAAACAATCAACACTTTTTAATTTGTCTTTCTCTCGACAGCAAATAGATGACATATGTAGTATACCTAGTAGAGATGGCCTTGTGGCGCATAGGGTAAGGTTCTCTTCGGTGGCTAGCTCGATCACTTGCTATATGGGACGCTCCGTCACTACATGCAAACTCTAGATGCTATATGTTATGTGTTTGAATATCTAGATTTGGATCGCTATAAAGAATACTTGATTTGAAAACACGAGATTTAAAACATATACAAAACTCTAGGCATTACTAGGCTAGGTAAATCTCCCAAATGATAGGCTGTGTTAATGAAGGTTCACAAACAATGAGTAAACCGAATAATAATCATCATCATTTTAAGCATTCAACATGGTCTACTATCTTATTTACCTGGGTTTCTTTTTATTTGCGTATCCTTGAATTATGATAAAATAGCCAACGATTGAGGTTTCAACCTAACCACCCACATTTTAAACATCATCTTCACACCACTTGCCAGATGTGAGATAACGAAAACGGCATGATTAAGGTTGTAATCTCCCAAGCTAAGCACTCTCTAACTACCACACACACACCCAAAACGGACGAGACGCCGCCGATCCGTTCCGTTCCGTTCCGCGGTGACGCGACCCGCAGCGAAACACACCGCACGAGCCCCCACCTTAACCACCGCAATCCACACACCCACACCCACCTGGGTGGGCCCCACCGCTCCCGGGGCCCCACACGTCATCGACCTTAGCTAGGCCCCGCTCGTCCGCGGTGTTTTTAATCCGTGCCACCTCAGCGCGCTAATCGCGACGGGGGGACTCGTGTTAATTAAAGGGTGGCAACAATTACGTCACTGGCCCCCCGCGCTTTCGAAAGATCTGGGGCGTTGGTGTGGAAACGGACGGCTGGGATTCGGTGGGGGACCGGACACGTCGGTGGTGGGTTCCGGCGCTTTTGAAAGGCCGCCGGTTTTGGCGCGGCGCGGTGGGCCGGGATCTTCTGTGGCTGGTTGGGCCGGCTGGGTTAGTTTTCCCCCGCGTGTCCTTGTCCAGGGCGTTGAAAAGTCAAAGGACAGGTGGGCCCCACTCCTGCCTCCGGTGTCAGCGGCAACGAGCCCAACCAACAATATCCACAGGCTCACTTCAAAGCAAACTTTCATTTGCGCTCTCTAACTCTCTTTATTGTGTACAGGAGAGCTGATCACTAGTACGCTCTCGAGAGTTATCTAAATAGTTATAATTAGTTTTAGAGAAATTCGACCTGATAGTTTAATACTCCCTCCATTTTTTTAATAGATGACGCTGTTGACTTTTTCTCACATGTTTGACCATTCGTCTTATTTAAAAAATTTATGCAAATGTATAAGATATAAATCACACTTAAAATACTATGAGTGATAAAACAACTCATAACAAAATAAATTATTATTACGTAAATATTTTGAATAAGACGAATAGTCAAACATGTGAGAAAAAGTCAACGACGTCATCTATTAAAAAACGGAGAGAGTACAAGTTTAAAAATAAATTAAATTATGGGCCTATTCACTTTGATGTCATTTTCAACCATACCATTTTTTAATAAAGTTGCCAAAATTTTGACTACCACCGTGTTTAGTTCCAAACTTTTTTTCAAACTTCTAACTTTTCCATCACATCAAAAACTTTTCTACACACATAAACTTTCAACTTTTCCGTCACATCGTTCCAATTTCAACCAAATTTCCAATTTTAGCGTGAACTAAACACATCCTATGTTTAGTTTGTTGCCAAATTTTAGTAAGTACATATGAAATCTTGCCAAAATTTGGCAATCTTGCCAAAATTTTGGTAACCTTATAAAAATTTGGTAATGCCAAAACTTGGTAAGGTTGAAAATGGTAGCACAGTGAACAAGCCCTATAACCAATTAATGTATATGTACAATTAAATTATTTTTTTATTACAACTCGTAGAAGGTTAATTTGATCAATCATAGTTGTATAGTGATTTGTCATATATTAATATATCTTGTTAATTTTTTTTAATTAATTATTTGAATGATATATAAATAATAAGGGGATGTTCCCTCGAGAGTTTAGAATTGACTCCCTTAGGCTAGGGATTTTCACATCAGCAATGGTTGTTGATGAGTTAGAAATTATGATTGTTTGTTGGCTACGTGCAAAATTTAGCATTGCATGGTAAAAAGGAATGCATGATGAGGAATGCAGTTGATGGAAATTCGGTGGAGTTATCATATGATCTTGTACATATTGTTGCTTTAGAAGATTGTACTTACGCTGTTACGCACGGCTATCTTTTCAGAATAAGGCAGTGAAATTTGATTGAAATCTCTTACAAAGTAATTTAGGGTCGGTTTGTTTTCCTGTTTAGGGCTGGGTGGAGTTTTCATATGATCCGTATATATTATTTGTCTTGCACTCTTCCTATTAACTTTCTGAAAAGGCAAGGAGAATCTTCATGTTGCTTCAAAGTAATGGAGAGAAAGACAACATTCTTTATATCTAAGATTGAATACTTGATGCCATTTAATTTGTGTTATTTTTTTCCACAAGAAGTGGTTGTACACAACTACATATGGTCCTGATATGTCCTTTTCTTTAAAGAGATCACTACCATCCAAATTATATATAGTATGGCCCAAAACATTTTTCTTTATTTTGTAGTGGAAAAAATTAACACCTAAAGAATTATTATTTTTTGTCTAAAATCATTTCTTTCCAAGGAGTATAGTAGGACATTTCATGGGAGGCTCACTATCATAGTCTCACTTAATCATGTAGTGGTCCATGCTTGGTTTTCTCAACCAACGCATATGAAAACCATTCGAGTTTTTCATATAAAGATTTTGTTTGTCCTGAAACATTTCTTTCAAAGAGTATAATAGGACATATTGCATGGGAAGCTCATTATCATATATAGCCATTGAATCTTATAGTGGTACCATGCATGCCTGGTTTTCTCAACTAACATATGAAAACAATTTGAAATTGTCGGTTTCTCAGCCTTAACTAAGTATATGGATTCATACATACATTATATACTATCCACTGTTTACACACAGGTGCATGTTTCACTAGAATTTCTTAAGGTTTCTTGGTTATAAAATTTTACATACATTAGTCCAATGCTCGTGCTTGGCTATGGATCAAATAAAATATATTATAATATTACCTAAAATAAATTGAGGTATAGTATTTGATACGAAATGTGTTACCCATCTTTTTTCCTATGTTTAACATTTACTTTTGTTTGATTGTTTTTATAGTATTAAGAAGTTGAAAGGGTAATTTACAATAGAAATAGGTGGGGGTAACCGTGGCGGATGACATATTTACTCCTATCATCATTTTTTTAAAAAAATAATATAGATAGCCTTTTTTTAAGTCATCCTTATTTTTTAGCGTATCAAACTTGTGTAGTGTGTGCGCGCTTATGCTTGGCTACTAGAAAAATCATTTATTACCACGAAAAAAATCGTGGCATCAACATTAAAATTGTGGCAATAGATACATGTTGCCACAATTTTAAAATCGTTGCTAACCGTGGTAATAAATAGCGTGGTAATAGGCTATTGCAACGATTTTTATTTAGTGGTAATAATAAATTTCGATGTTGCCACGGAATGGATGTGGCAAAAAATCATATTGCAACACTTCATATGTGGCATTAGTTCTATTGCCAACTCACCTACGCATCAATTATGTTAGAAAATGCAAATCGTTCCATTTGAGCCTAGCTAACTGAGATTTGAATCATAGATTTGAATATCTAAAATATTTCAAATGAA